CTTGATTCATAGTTTATACACTAAGTTATTCTAGGGTATGAAAGTCCACACCAGTCATGGCAAAACTACTTAAAAGACAGTTCATTAAATGAAACTTTAACAACACACAACGACAAAACCTGTGCTCAGAGCTTATTGTTCACTATAGTCTGAAGGGGTTTTGATGAAGCAATCCCCTACATCCTCTACAGGCCTGACAACAATACCCTATGACTATCTTACAGAGAATCTTCATCTCCTCAAAGAAGGGAGTTCATGAACTTGCATTCACTCTCACAAAGAGATAAAAGCACTGTCCTGCTGGAGCCAGAGCTGTTAACTTCTACTTGGGTTCTTCTTTGGAATGCCACAACATGCAAACTAGCCAATTGTTTTCAATGCAAAACAACTAATGCCCCCTGGCCCTTTTAAACTATGATCTTCTGTTCAGAGCACTATAATTTCCCATACATTCACATCTAGCCCACAAGCCAAAAGTAAAAATAAACAGACCTGAACTAACTAGACACAGTTCTTTTTGGCAAGTGCCTAGGCAATATGGTCATATACAGTCAAATTCACATGACCACCATTATTTTTCTTAATTCAAATTTATATGACAAAAATAATAATCATCATGAATAAGGAAATTACTCGCTCAGCTTGGATGCCAGCTCTTGGAGAGCAGCTTCTTGGTCTTGACATATCCTTCGCAGTTGCTTGTTCTTTTCCTGAAGCTTAAGGAACTCCTTAAAGCAAAAAATATAACAGACAAAAAAATACCAATTACTATCAAAACTGTATTTGCCTAATGCCGAGAAAACTGCTACGACACAAAACTGATCTTACTGAGAAAGCCAAGTGAATGAATGATCCATCACACTCCCTATTAAGATTCCCAAATCCAACTCGAACAGCAACAAGTTAGAATTAAACTCTCTTAGACCCCAAGAAATAAAGCATTTTTGCTTTTGCAGTCCTCTCCAAGAAGAAAATAAAAATGATTGATGGTAGAGACCAACAACACTATATAGCCATGTATGTGTACACGAAGTCAGAGAGAAGCTGAAGCGCTTTCTGGCCTATGATAAGACAACAGAAACTTCAACACAACTGAGAAAAGAAAATGAGGACTTAATTTTTTCTCATTCCAAGTACCAAGTCCTAATCTAAGGACTGAATGGAGAGCAAAAAAACGTATCTTTTTTTCTTAGTCTATTTGTGAAAATGCATTAATCTAATCTTTCTTATCTACTAGCAGAAAGTCTTAAAAATATCATGTCTAAGTGCATAATTAACTTTGCAGTCAATTTCTAAATTACTAGTCAAGTTCCACCACATAATTTACTTTTTTAAGATTAATTATTTCTTGGGTCTCTGTTTTCAGATGAGATACAGTTTCCTTTTCCTTCTGAAGATCATCCTCTAGGGTTTGCCGCCACTCTTTTTCTATCTTCAAATCTGTTTCCAGCTGAAGTCTAGAATATAAAAGGAACCAAAAACATCACTGTGCACAAAAGTATAATTTTTAAAAAACAAAAATTAGTTTTCTGGGTGCAATATACTTTTATGATAATAAGCAAATTATCAACTCTTACTTTATCTAACACATAAATAATGTAACAGTAACATATTTTAGACAGTGATGTAATAAACAAACCAAAACTGCCATTTAGAACACACTTTCAAAAAGAGGCGTATTTAAAGGACCAAGAATATGGCATAATTTTGAAGGGCTGATCTTTGTAATAAAACAGCAGGAGATTAACCACCAAATTCGGAAGTATTTTTGAAACATGCATAAGGCAAAGCCCCCTGAACCTTACATAACTTGTTTCTAAAATAAAGCAAACCAACCAACCACACTGCCATTGGTGATGCAGACGATTGCATGTATCTCTGGTGCTCATAAAAGCTATTTAATATTATACCCTTAGATGAGAATCTTCTATTTTAGACTAAGGCTTTTGGCATTTTGAACAGATTTGAAAATAAAGGAGGAACTTAAAATGACTATTTTTAATGAGCTTTTTACATAGCTGAGGGTCAACATAATGAGGTATCTAAATTCTATTACATTAACTGGAGTTCAGTTAAAGGAATTAGGGCTACTCTATCAAAAGATCCACTCTAGCTGGAACTTCACTACCATTTTCATGGGAGTATTGGTGTTTACAATGTTACAGAGAAACCAAAATATGGAAGTACACTGCTCAACCTTCTAGATCTAAATTGTGCCAACAGAATAAAAGAGGAAAGAATCTGAGAGTAGTCATGCAAGGGTTTTTTGATGGAAAATTTGTACTTTTATTAATTTTCCTGTTTTAAAACCAAAACCATTTTTAAAGGTAAGACTTACATTTTGGGACACTACCTCAGCATCTGGGTGGAAAAGATCAGAAGTGAACATGACCTTGAAGTTTCAGAATTGCAGAATTCTAAGGCTGGGGGCTGAACTGTTCTTTTGCCAAAATCTGCAAAGATGACTGTGTAGTAAAGTGAACATTTGTCATGACAATTAAACAGGTTTATTAACATTCAGAATTGTAAGAGAGGCAGGGTGGGCTAATAATTGGATTTGAAATCACTAATTTTTGATCCCAAATCCTTGATGGACCACAGATTTGCACTGTCTTAAATAATTTACTTGTTACCTTTCCGAACAGGGACAACAACTGCCCTTACAGGGAGCTTTTTTACACTATGTATTTATTTAAATCAGTACTAAAGGATTTAATATTAGAAGAACTAGAGGGCTGGCTTTTATATTACTTTTTAACGTTTATGACTAGTGAATTTTTATTTCCTACACAGTGGTAAGCTAAACCACTTCCACCTTATGCATAAGCCTGATTAATTAAGCTAGTCTTACACTTTTTCTAAGTTTGTACTACCATATACTTGTGGGTTTTGTTAGTCAGTGTGTATTACTCCTACACTACATATTTTGCCCCACTTGAGATAATTTTCTCATGTATTAAGTTGGCACTTCAAGACAGAAAATGCTGTTCTTCCCCCTCCTTTCAAGCTGCACATTATTTTACAGGTACCCAAAGGTAGTTTGACTTCCTTGGAGTGGCATACCTTCTTCCACCTTGCCAGTACCTAACATGAAGAACGTTAGTATTTACATTCTGTTCAAAACCATTTATCAAAACCAGTGGGTATGAAGACACAGGACATAATGAAATGTAGAACATTTACTGCTGTATATTTCTACAGACAGAAAAGATGTACTTACAGCTGTTTCTCCTTCTGGGAGAATTCTTTCTGCAGACTTTCAGATTTATTCACATATTCCTGTTTAAGTTTCTCATCCTCAGCCTCAGCATCCATTTGAGCCTTCTCTGCTTGCTGCAATCTGGTGTAATTCAAATCAACTTTGGGTAAAACTGAAGCTAGAACTAGGGTGTAGAGGGTGAAGAAGACAAATAAAAGAAAAAATGGGGAAATAGAAATATTTCTAAATAAAAACAAAGTTTGGGGGAAACTCACAAACTCAAACGAGAAATCCATACAATGCCTATAGAACTAGCTCCTGTTTTTTCATACAGTAAGAGAGAAATCAGTGTAAGTAATCACTGTTTTATTTTATGCTCATGAATAACAGATGCCAAAACATGATGATACATATTTTAGAACTGATGCATATACCTTCTTTGATTACTTTTTTTTGGGGGGAAGCTTTTTTCTTCCCTCCAAATAGACCCTTAAAAGCGCTTGGTTTGTACTAATCACCCATTAAGATAGGGCAGAGCGAGTGTTGTGCAAAAGCAGCTCAAAACAATTCAGGCTAAGACTAAATACAGAGTACTGCAATCAGACAGCAAAAAAACTTAACCAGCCTAATACAACAAGACACACCCTGACAGGTCCCACTACATTAATAGAATTACCTCTACTAAATCACACTGTTCAATTAATTTAATAATTTGTATTAAAAATAACATGTTCTTACACTGGTTAAAATAGCTCCATATTATAGACAAAATAAATAAACCTGATTAATCAAGAAATTGGGGATTGTTTAGGGGGTTTTTTTATTTAATCTTTCCCTTCTGAATTCCAGGGGTTTGCTTCTGCTTCAGCTAGCACTCCCTTGGAATCCATTAGTTCAATGTGGTTCCTCTCTGCTTCGTCAACTCTTCAGCCCAAAAAAGAATGAATGCAATGTAACAAAGTAAAAGTACTAAAATGGAACTTGTGCTATATCATGACTACACTTGTCTTGATGAAAAGGCAGGAGAGTGAAAGAGCGAGTAAAATACCACTTAATGTCCCCACCTACTCCATCGTGTTTAACAAAACTGTTTCAAGGGCCTCTCTGGTGAGTGGTGGGAGAAATCTGTGATACTCTCTCTGTGCTTGATTTCTCACTTCCTGGCAGCTAGCTGAATGTAGAGGAACTCACAGCTCCCATTGTCAGCTAAAAAGAAATTAAGTCAGCAGTATGTCTATATTTGTGCTTCTACTGATGAAGCTGCACCAGCAGGAGTATTATAAAGATGCCAGCACACAAGTGTAAAAAGGCTGGAATTAAACTACCATATAAAGCGTGTACTATTTCATTCAACTATACCAGTTGTTTTAGGAATGTTCCCAGTCACATTTGCAATGGTAGTGCACAGAGGGCCAAAAAATGTATGGAAAGGAAACTACTGGGAAAATGCAGGGCCAATTCACTGGGCAAAAGCAGCTGAATTAAGCTATACAAGACTGTAAAAGCAAAAGTAACTTAAAACTGTCCCTTAATCACAAATTAAACTGCAGTGTCATTTCCATGACAAAGGTAGAAAGGGAGCTTGCTACACAAGAAGCACGCCAGCCAAACCAAACTACAGCATCAACCTCTAGACTTAGCACCAAGGCTAACTGCAACGCTGTACTCCAGACAAATGCCAAGCTGGACCTAGTTTGCAGCAGGATTTGAGAATCAGATGATATTGAGGCAGATAATTGTTTGCATAGATGACCATGAGATGGTTAACACTCCTAGTTCTGCTGTGGTCTACCTGCTGTTCTGGTCTACCTGTTGTTCTATTCAGCGTTTCTGGTTTGTGTTTTCTTGAGGATTGGAGATACTTATGTTTTAGTAGCCAGCCCATGTTAAAGGCTCCTTCTGCTACCCAACCAAGGAATGAGGCAGTATGTAATCATGGAGTAGAAACCCTTTCTGAACTGCTGTGCCCTGCCACAGCTTTTGCAAACACATCCCCTTCTTTCTGAAAGACCCTAAGACTTTTCCCAGTCAACTTCCCTTCCACACTTCAGAGCAAACACTGGGAAGTGCATCAAAGGCAGCCAGCAGCTATAACTGTATTTCTGCAGTGCAGGCAAGTAGAATCTCAAAGCAGAAATAAGCTGTGAAGACTGCCTAATGATGGACGGAGAGAAGGAAAAGCGGTTGGGCAAAACCACAGGTTATGATTACAGTGTAAATATAGCCACAGATGGGCAAGATCCTTAGATGACAAGCAAGTTAGACAAGTTGAGGATCTGGGCCCTAAATGAAAATGCTATTTATTACTAAAACTTCTACTGTAGCTATCATGCTCCAGCTGTTCTAGGCAGGAATCAGAACTACAGAATTTACTAGATCACGCTGCCCTTCCTGCCTAGAGCCAAGTCCAGGCTCCAAACACATTTTAACTCCATGAAAATATTTTACCCCACATCTTTGGCTGTTTTATCCCCAAATCCTGTAATTCCTCCACTGTATATAATGAATATATATGTTGACACCACCCTCTTTTTCTAAATATAGCATTCTGATATAGCACTCAACCCCCTTCCCCCAAACTCCTGTCACTCTTTAAGAAAACAGTGCTAGGTACAAGCAAAGGAAAAACAAAAAAAACAAAACACAACAAGGAGCATGCTTTTGGGATAAATACAGCCTTACAGTGAAAGAAATAAGCAGGGGGGGAAGGGATATATATTATTCAGAAGGGCTAACTTTAAAATCTGTTAGTACCATAAAGAATAGGAAAACCCACTAATCGGAAACAAATGTCATAAAAGCGTACAAAGATAGCTAACCTTTTAAAATAAACTTGGTTTGACAATTAAGAAGTGATTAAATAGCATTAGAAAACTAGCTTACATTTGCTCAATAACAGTGCAGTAGGTTACTTTTTTTTTTTTTTTTGCTAAGAGGGCTAAAGTGAGATTGGAGATGATGTTCTTTCAGAAAACAAAATAGAACCCAGTTACGATCAGCTACAGTGCAGGATTTCTAATAGCACTTTATATTTAAAGTTGTAATTTTAAAATTCTTAAGTTATATTATTATCAGTGATTATTTAAACGCAACAGATCTGGAGGAGCTTTCAGAATGATATGTCTTTGACAAGTTTATACTGGTGCTGAGCTTCATTGCTGGCACATTTGACGAATGACATTGCAATAGTCCTAGTTTGAGTTAACAGATCTTTGTCACTTCATGAATGCAGTGGACAAAAATCAAAGACAGATGAAGACAGCAAAATATTAAAAACAAAAATTGGGATAAAGGATAAAAAGAAAAAGAAAAAAGAGGAAAAAGGATGTCAATAAAAGAATATTCATGTCACTAATTTTTTTTAATACATAGCCATGTTTTTCATAATCAGATTTAAACAAAAAAAAGGACATGTCAAACACCAACATATGACAGGGCTTATGGATATGTTACATTTTACAGTTAAAAAGTTCAATGTTGAATACAGGCCACTACAAATTAAAAGATATGAATCACATTTTAATATTATGTAATACATGCAGTCTAACCATAATATAAATTCATATACTGGAATGTTAGTCTTCCACTTTTCAGCCTTTCAGTGTAAAGAAGTCATTATGTCATTGAAAGTAATGGTACTTCCAAAGCAATGGAGAAAAATTTTAATACCTTCAGCAAATACAGCACTGATCCATGAAGGTATTAAATGTTTATATTAAGCACATGCTTAAGTATGAGCAAGATTAATGCTTTGGTTTCTATTGCATTTCATTCAGGTGGGGATGAGGGGGAAGAGGTAATAACAACACAGACTTTTGAAAACAGCTGAAAGAACAACTTCTGATATCAGCACAAAAACCTAGGACAAGAAGAAAGATGGCAGAGGAAGAAAACTGAAAGATTAAGTTTCTATTTAAAAATAAATTTTTATTTTTTTCTTTAAAAAATACACAACTAAAGCACTAGTTAAAGTTTCAGAAATGTTCTTATTAAATATTCTGGTTGAAAGTTACATTTCAGTGGCAACTGTGCAGGAATGCAGTAAAACATAAGGGGATGGAGACATGAATGAAGAAAAACAAAGATGGGCCTGTACCTTTGTTCTAGTTGTTTCATAGTTGCATTAATTTGATTAGTCTTCTCCTCTAATCGACCAATTATTTCATTCTTTTCCTTCATAGCATCTTCAGAAACCTGTGTTACAAAAAAGTTAAAACTGAAGTAGATATATATTAAACTTTTACCTCACGGGGGGGGAGGGGGGGGAGTTCAGTATCGAAAGGGGAAAATGTTAATATGGCTTCAGATTCAGAATTTTTATACATTCCTATCTAAAACACATAGTTGATAGTACCTAACATTTTATGCCTAAATTCACTACTTATCTTTTCAAGAAATCCATTACAACTGTACCAATAAAGAAATAAGCCACTTAGTCCTGGAAATCACTACGGTTCCCCAACTCTTATCAAACTACCATATACACCTAAAAATGCTTCCAGAATTTTACTAACATGTTTCACAAGTTTGATTGCTTGCAGAGCAGTTACAACTGTGGCTTGAAGATCCAAATAAAAGGTAGAGCATTACACTTGCTGCACAGATCAACACTTATCAATTGGTCCCTAAGCAGCAGAGAGTGAGCATGATTAAACTGTTTCACTCTACCCAGGAAGTGAGTCTGAATGTCATTAAGTGAAATCAGTGTTACCTCCAGCCCCACAAGTACATTTTTAAAAGAAAAACAAAAGCCTTCAGATCCAAACACACTGAAAAACATTGTTGGTTTGTTTTTCCAGTTCTATTTATATTTCGTCTGGTCCAGTTCCGTCACAGCTGCAGGTGCAAAAGTAAGCATCATTTGTTCATCACCTCAATTATCTCTCTACAGCACCCTAAGTTTTTCTTCCTCATTCTGCCACATATTTGATAGGTTTCTTGTGCTGTTTTTTGATAATTTATTCAATAAATAAAATTTATATTCTGCATAAATAAGGTGTTTACAACCCCAGCTATTTTATGCTTCTCTGATTCCCCGGTGTTTGGATATCTGTTAGCTGCATATTGGGCCTCTAAGATCCATATTTTCCAAAAAAAAAAAAAAAAAAAAAAAGCATTGCCTTGTTAACAGGTTAAAAAATGAAAATGAAACCAAACTGTAACTAGCATCTTCCATTTAACACAACTTATTTTCCAAATGCCTTTCTTTACTTCGAAAGTTCAGATGTCCTCTTTAACTCATCATCTGCTTACATTCTCCTGGGGTTTTATACAACACAGGCCAAAAAGTGTTATCACTAGATACACTGTTACTCTCTCTATTCCACATTGCATGTAATTAGGACATGAACTTATTCTCATGTTCTTTTCTTCTATAAACCCACTAACGTTAAGTAACTGCCTTAAGAACTTCTTTGGGTAAAATCACGCTTCCATCAATGCTCAAAAATGACAAGCCGATGTAAGTGGAAAGAAACCAAAAATTAAGGAAACAGCAGTATTTAACCAAACAAAACTGTAATGCATCTCTCTCAGTCCAAAGTCATTTCATCAGTTTAACAGCAGATTATTTCTCTACCTGCAGCTTTTGATACATTTCCATGTTAATTGCTTTAACTTCATCAAGCTGCTGTCGAAGGCCTATGAGGGTATCCTGCTTCTCATGGATGTCCTTCTCCAGCAACTTCATGGCAAGTTCTATCTCATGCTTCATACTAACTTGAACCACTAGCTCATTCTCCATATCCTATAAAACACAAACACAATGCCACACAGAAAATTTAAATAATTATGCAACATTTTATCTCCGTTTTGAAAAAGACAAAAGCTAACTCTAACAGTGCTGCAGCATCACCTATTTCACCACTTCAGAAATTCTGCCCCTCTTTAAAAAGGGACAGAATTTTAAAAGCCATGTTAAAAACCCCTTCTTATTACAGGCAATTAAAAGCAACTGAAGTTGATTAAAGACAGCATCTAAGCTCAGCAAAAGCAAAACTATAAGTATTTATATACAGACTCTTTTCACGCATAATCTATTCTAGAAGTGCTCTGTGATCCTAGAAAAGAACACTTACTTGTCGAAGTTGTGATTCTTCTCGAAGCTGTCTACGTGCTTCATTGTACATTTCATCTAAACCCTGCCTGGAGTGTTTGTATGTCTGAAGTTCTGCTTCAACATCCACTTTAGTTGCCTACAAAGATATAGAGAATCTATCTTTCTTCTTCACAAGTTTAGCAATTAATAGCATGAATTTAACATTTGGGGGAGGGGAGGGTAGAACTTTAAAATACATTCTCCAGGCACAGTACCAACATATAAGATGTTTCTGCTATGTGGTCATCAGTTTTACAATAAGAATTGAGTATATTAACCAAAATAAACATCTGTACTACAGTACAGTCCTCCTTCAGTAAGTCACTCTTAACACACAACTGTTTTGGTACTAAGCAATCAAAGCATCTGCTTAGCCTGTGCTTTTATCAATTATCCTGTGAAGCACATACAAGAAGTTACACAAGTACAAATAACAGCTTTAAAAAAAATAGTTCAGCAATTGTAGACACAACTACTCCAAATGACATTCCATATAATATGACAAGTCAGAATAGACATCTGTCAACTAAAACACACACTACTTTTACAAGGTTTTCAGGTAATACTGCCTTAAACGCTTAGATACAGCTTACAGTCTAATGAAAAAAGGAAGAAGGGAAGAAAATTAGTAAGAATACAAGAAAAGATGCTACTACAAAAATTGCATACAGTTATAAAACAATCTAGTGTCCTATAATTTTGATATATTTATGCCATTATAATTCCAGTTTACTTCAAGTTATGTAAAAACATTTGAATGACAACAAACCACACATTACAACATTAAATGCAGTCAAGCTACCATACCTCTAGATGATGCTGTGTTTTCATTAAAATAAGAGTATTTTCACTCCTTAAATGATGATTTTCTTCCTGGAGTTTAATTATATTGTTTTTGGCTATTGCTAACTGAAAAATTAAGAGAGAGAAAAAAAACAAACAAAAACAAAAACGGAAAAGCAGGGTGACCACTTTTGTGAATGGAAATAAAGAAAAAAAATGTTCTGCTGAACGCAAGACCAAGACATTCTCTGCTCTATTCTCACAGTCTACGAAACTGGGGTTTAATTGTTTTTAAAGAAAACATACAGCTCCTGAGTTTAGTAATAAGCACTTTCATTACAGAATAACAGTGTATTCAAGATACTTGATTATTTTACATCTGGTAAAGAATTGCATCATTATGACTTAAACACCCCCAATTCCTCTTTCCTCAACCTATTTATTCGTTTTTTGTGTTTGTTTTTTTTTCTGTTTAGATTAAAATATACCCTGTTTTGTTGTTTGGTTTGTGGTTTTTTTTATATTTTTATATATCAGATGGAGCAATTTACATAAGAATGGCTCTTCCAAATGAAAACATATTTACAAAAGAGAAAACATTATAACTGAGCCCTACAGGGTATACCTTAATGCCAGAATTATAAGCCCTGATCAAAACAGGTGGATAGTAGGGCTGAGGGCTTGTAAAGCAACCCAAATTTTCTGAGAATTAACACTCAGTAATGTTTTCCCTCTCTCTGGATACATCAATACTCAGAGCAAGCTAGCTATGAACTTCAACAGCTGAATTTAGACATTTTGATTCTCCACTATTTCTCAAGCAGCTTGGATTAAAAAAAAGACTGCACTCTCTCTATAAAGCTGAAAATATTGGAATCTAGTCAAGCATCAAAGATAACCAGAAATATAGGATATAAATACAGAACCAGAGCTAGACAAGTCTAAAAAATTTTATATACGTATATGGTAAAAAAGCAAGAAAATCCTTTGCCTAAAGCTGAGAATTGCAATAGAAATTGTTTGGTGAACTACTTTTTGTCTCTTTGTAGCATCTGGTGTCATCCATTATGGACTAGTCATCTGCACAAAATCAGACTGGCAGCTGGCATTAAGAAAGGCTTTACTTCTGGCTTTGTTCAAAGTGGGAAACTACAACATTCTGCAGAATAAATTTAGTGATGTTGGAGGCTACCCAAGCAAGCTGACTTCAAATCCCTGCAGCTACTGCACCTTTTATTCAAGCCAAACTCAAGGTAGCTGAACAAACGATGCATTATTTTAATCTACATAAGTTCCGTAAACATATTTTGAGAAAAAGCTTTTGAGAATAAATATCATACAATACTAAAAGAAAATAATACCTCTTCAATCAGTTTAGTGTTTGATTTCTCTAGTGAATCAACTCTCGCATGTAGACTGCTAACTGTGCTACTAGAAGAGAAAAAGAAAAAACATTATTCAGAATTGCAACAAAATTCACCCAACCAAGCTCAAAAGCTTTAATGCAAGCTACAATGATTAATGATTAAGTGCTAAAAGGTCTGTTCCCATTATTTGAAGTTTTCCTAAATACACGAAAATTAGTCTCCCTTCTTAACATTTATACATTTCTTTCCAACTTCCAAAGCCACCCGTCACCTAAACTCCTGGTTGGGTGTGACTTTCCATGTATTCTCCCTTTCCTTTACCCTCACAACTACATTGTATCCAACCATTTAATGAGTTGCCTTAAAAGAGAGTTTACAATCTTGGAATAAAGAGTTACAATCTTCTTGGGGGGGTTTCCCACCATCTAACAAACGCATTCTCCACCTTCTCTCCCTCCAAACCCTACGTCTTTTATAAAATCATTTGCTTCTCCACATTTTTTGAGATTTATCCTCAGGCTACCTCTTTCTTGATGCTTCTTGACTTAATTTACAAGTCTCATCAGAATTTTATTCCCTTGTATATCCAGGTCTTCTCCATCACCTGATTGCCGATTCCTGCTGTAACCATATATTTTTAGGCTGCACATCACAAGCAAAAAAAAACCCTATTCTCTAACACTGTTTACTTTTCTATACATTTCTACTCTGGTATTCTTAAGAGTTACCAGTTAGTTAAGAATGGCAAGGTAGAGGAGATTAATGAATTTTAGGATGTGTGGAAAGAAACAGCTAACCTGAAATAGAAGAGAATTGCTGAACCACTGGTTTACAAATAAGTTAATGCATAAACTAGTGTACAAGACACATTCAGCACACAGGGGCTCATGTGAGTAACAGCTATTGCCACACAAACACCACTACTCTTCACTGTGATAGTTCCTTTCAATCTTAACTTTCATTTCCCTTGTATTGGACACACTCAGTTATTCTGCTCAGTGACTGACACAATTTCAAATCAGAATATCTTTACCCCAACAGCAGACATATAGCAACTAATGATCAAGATTAGGAACATTAAAAATATTATTATATCTCAAAAAGAGATCAAGAAGATCAGCTATACTACAGGGCCTACAGAAGTTCTTTGTGGATATGGCATTTCATTTTGGTTGGGCCTTTTTAGCTCCTCCCACTGTTTAATTTTGTACAATACTCCTCAGAGACTTACAACCACTGTTCCTCTATTTGTACAGTAACAAACAGTGGTGAACTAGGTTTGATCCATCCAGCAAAGTAAGAGGAAAAGGCTGCTTTCCTGAGAACTTTCTACAGGAACCACAACCTACAGTGCGGAAGTAGTTTCCAGCAGGCAATGAACTCAGTTTTGGTCCTAGGCATTAAAGCTACAAACAAAAATAATATGAAAGGCAAAGAAACAAAAACATGTTTTCATCCAGAACACACAATAACACTTTTTGAAAACTATTAAATAGAATGCAGTTAAAATCCAGATGAAGCTTTTAATTCCTGTTACGTTACGAATCATAAGGACCTTGATGAGTTAGACCTGCTGGTTTTTGTTTCCTTAAAGAATTAAGATTCTGACGTTATAAAACAAAAGCATAAAACCAGAATTTGTGAGTCTCTCCAGAACAGTGTATCCTTTCCAACTCCATTACATCCACAATTTAAACATGAAAAATTTGCACCTCTTTCCCTAAAGTTCTCCCACAGAGCAGTGCGATAAAAGGAATTAGAGGTGTTTTACCTCTAAGCCTAGCCTGACATGCATACTTCAAAGTAATACTTACTTCAATTGTCTGTTTAGTTCTTCAACGTAATTCTTTTGGTCCAAAATTGAAGCAATCTGTACATTCCTAAAGCAAGCGCATAATAAAATTAGCTTTAACAAAATGATATAGTGAACTATAATGTACATGTATGCACTGAAAATACATATCTCATGCAAACGTCCACCTTAATTGCGCTTTTTAAAAAGAAAGGAAGCAAATTCATCTCACAATCATGACAGCAGTAACTGACATATGACATTACTGAGAGAAAAAAACACTCCAATGCTTTAACTACAAACAATTTCTCTACACGGAACATAAGAACACATAGTCTCCGAAGAAAAAGGATGTTCATTTACTCAGCCATAATTCTGGGGTTTTTTTAAACATTGACTAAATCTCAAGGTGGGGGCTTAAAGGTTAGCAGGTTCCTTTTCACTGACACCTTGCAATCCTCCAGTACTGTCTGTGAGGTAAAGGAAGCAGGTGATGCTGCTGAGGCTTGCTTCAGAGTACAAGTATTTTTCCAGCTAACTAGTAATACAGAGCCATGTAGCATGCCATTTTTCTCAAGACAGTGAGATCAGAATACTTCATCTTTGGGAACCCGACTTATTTCTACAAAGAACAGGGCACCAGCCAAGAAAACACCTGTTAACATGCAAAATCTGAGGTATTTGGTGAGGACATACCTTTCCTTACCTCCAATGTCATCATCACTCTTTAAATACACAGAGAAATCAATCACCCCAACCTAGGGTAAAGCAAACACACAGTTTTATACCATACAATTAACTGCTGTTAATTAATAAAACCTGAGTTACATCAGCCTTTTTAAGATTGGTCCAGTTTCCACCAGAAGCTCAAAAAACTGAACTATAACATTTTAAACAATTTTTTTTTTAAGTATAGCCTCACAGAGTTGTTAAGAATTATGTTCCCTTTGAGCAAAATTAACAATGTGCTGTATACCAAATCCCAAAGAAAAGATCATTTCTTACCTCTGACTGAGCTTAGCCAAGAATTCACATGAAGACTTCCATTTGGGGAATTATCAGAAACTACTGAACCCCATCTCTGACTGAGTAGAACTGTGATAAATCATCTGTAGTGTTTCATATTATTTCCTACCACAGCACATCTCCCAAACTGATCTTTCTCCCATGTTTATTTTTTTCTATTTTCCTTATCAAATAATACAACCTCTCCACACTTGCTGATTCCCAAGTATACCAACCCAACTGCAGTCTTCTTTTTTTAAAACCTTGCTAAATCTGAATCTAATTAATTTCTTTTCTGTTTAACTGTAATTTAATCATGTAAAAAAACATTACCATAAGTTCTGCTTCCAATTCTGTTCACAGAAGTATTTAAAAATGTCTGCTTTGCCAAAACCCTTCCTTTTTGGTCTCTAGCTGGCTCTTAACAAAAGTATTTCAATTTCTCCGATTTACTGCTTCCTTCTTGAACTTCTGCTTCTGAATACAAGTAACTTGCTCAGTCTAACATTGCCTTTGTTTATACGATGCTCTGCTCTCTTCTGTCAGCTTCCTATTATGATCTTCTACCTGTTCTTTCGCTACCTTTTCTAAAAAGTGTCTTCTCCAAGAGCTTTTTAAAAATCAATAAGCAAAATATTTCAATAGAGAGAGTATTATCTCTGTAGAAGTTACTTTGTTTTAATTCTCCATGAGTGCATTTTCACCATTTCATACGTTTCACCACTGAATAGCATTCTTCCGGCACACCAAAACTATGCTGCTGGATGTGACTTCCATCATCCTTCAGAAGTTTATCTTTCTGCCCAATACAACTTGTTGCTTCTGGCTTCACTGAGTGCCTTATTTATGTTACTCTTCAAACAGAATTACTCTAAAGTCTCATTTGGACAGCCACCACCACCTTCTCAAACCAACTTTTATCTTCCTTCATTCATCAAAACCAAGTGACCTAGATAAAAAAATATTGCTGGCTACCCCTTTGTTATGATTATTTCTAACACACACATATAACTCTCAATACTAAGAAAAGCACATTTCAGTTTTACATCTTCTGGTATGCAAGATAAGTGCCTAAAACTTTAGCTAGTAACTAGAATGAATAGTCGAAAACAACCCTATGATTCAACAGCACATACACTAGATTAGCCATAACTTTTCTTGTGCTGTAGAAATTGCCTTTTCAGCAAATATATGTTGAAATACAGTAATAATCACTTAAACTATTACATTTTTTCCACAAAGCTGGAAAAAACCCAATGAGGACTGAACACAGCCTACACTCATTTACAAATACCCGTGCATCTGCCTTTAAAAATAATCTGTCAAGCTTTTCATGGAAAAGATCAGAGTTCAAAGTCAACGCACTTTACACATGAGGAAGAATTCTAAGCCTTGTTTTCCAGATTGAAAGCAGTCACCCACTTACAAGGTCTTCTATTACACTACACAAAGCAAGTTTTTGTTTCAGGTCCCTGAAACATTCTTATTACACCCCCTTTATCATCTGATTAAATATCCATACTTATGATCCAGAACAGGAACAAATGAACTGCATGGGATAGATAAACTGATCGCGGAACTATACTTCTCCCACAGAGGAATAGTATGAGTTATGCAACTAAAATGGAAAGCACTCCGCACTGCTACTATTGTATCCATTTGACAACAGAGCATAAAATATCTGCCTTGCACTCTGACAATTATCACCATCTAAAGGTCTGACCCAACTGATACCAAAGTTAATGCAACAGCCCGCAGAGATACAGGAGCTGGATCATACCCCAAACAGTCACTAGTAAGATTTCTAGCAAGTCACAACTCCATAGTAACAAAATTTACTGTACATAATCTTATGGATTGCATGTTTATTACTTTATCTGTATTGACTTACCTGTGAATCTAGGTCTTCTCCCTTCACACACAGGTTAGCATCTATTACATTCAACCCAACTAACAGCCCAACAATAACTGCTCCTTCTTCCTCCATCATTAGTGCATGATACTCATAAAATTCACTGTTAATGAAGAAAATTGCATCTTATCAGACATTCAGTATATTTAATTGCAATAAATTAATAAGTGACATCTACAACCGAATTATTTCTCTTACTTAAGCCTTACTGCAACATCCTTAAAGATGAACTGCGTCTGCCCATGCTGTCACCTATTAAACATTTAAAAATTGGAAGTGCACAGTTTGTCTCAGAGGCTATTAAAAACACCTGAAATGTGTAGATACTACATTACAGAAATGTGAGCCACAAGCTGCTGGAGGCCTGGGAAACTTGGGGGCAAGACTTATTTTGTCATAAAAACCCCAGAACAAAACAAAACAAAAAAAGGCTTTTCCCTATACACTTGCTATTAGTCACTTTTGAAAAGGATACTGCAACAGATGGAAGTTTGGCCACACTAAGACAATTCTTATATTGTTAACAAATACTACAGAATGGTAAAAAATGTACCGTGTGTGAAAAAAGATTTGGACTTTAATGAACATGTGCTTGAAATTAAAGAAGCCAAGTAAGAGATAAAATGGGTAAGAGAAGAGAAAGGGCTGAAATACTAAAAAGTTTCTAGAAGAAAAACACTTCTCTGAGCAACATAATACCATCATTTACTTCCTCCTCCTTGCCTTTTTTAAATAACATTTTAGACTCTGTGAAACAAACCATGCTTTCAATGGAAAAGTCCATAGCTGCTGAACACCAGCGTTATCCTGAGATACGAGCACTATCTAGGCATGCAAAGAAAGTCTTAAAAATACATTTAGGTTATAGGACTGAAATTAAGATGACAAAGTTTTTTTCCCTTTGTGCTTCAACTACACAATCAGACAGAAGTTACACTAGAAGAGAACAATGCCAATTTTAGAACTGTGAAACAAAATTTCAAGGCAATAGTCCTTCATGCAATGGTAGCTGAGTAGGAAAACATGCAGGCAGGGGTGAATTCACCTCCTCTCCAGAGGCTTCCAACCCATATTCTGCATGGCAGACTAATGCAACAGGAGCCCTTCCTCATTATCCCACCTACACAAAGGGAAGGAAACATCCCTTCAACCATCAGCTGGTCTTCAGTCTTGATGAAGCAGTGTTGTTTGGTCCCTCTGCCCTGAGGACTGGAAGAAATCAGCCCATAGGCCAGCTATTACACCTTGCTACACTAAGGATACATTAAAAAGTAGTAAATAGAATTTAAATTTTTTTCATAAATGATTAAAAATAAATTACAGCCAAAATCCACTTAATTGCTTACCTGAGAAGATCTCTCTGAATGATCAAACAGCGAAGATAGTCAGCCATTTTCTTCTGCATTAGTGCTAACCGTAACCAGGCCCGGGCACGGCCCAGTGGTGTTCTGGAAAAAACGGCATGAAGACAAACAGTCCCAAATCAACAATATATCAATTAATTCACTGCCTTAAACATATGTCTACTGGTAGAGCTATTGGTATTTCTGAAAGGGTACTTTAAACCGTTAGTTGAGAAATGCAGTCTGGGAAGTCATAATGTTTTAGCTTTGGGAATACATCAGAAAAATTTTTATAACTGAGCCGGGCTTGTGAAAAGATGCTGGAAAGAAAATAACAGAGAAAACACAAGAACCTGACAGTAAAATTAACTGCTTTGCTCAGACAGTGAAAACATGCAACTTTCTACACACTGCTGTATTTCAATGTGCTTTGTTCTCACACAGTACATGGCTAGCATTGCTGCTAAGTACCTTCTTCTTAACCTGACAGTGCTGCAACGATAATCTTGGAAGTCCTGTTTCTAGCTGAAGTAAAATATCTGCAACAGTTCAGATTCCCTTCTGCAACTTCCTTATAGTTTTCAGAGAACTTGTGAGAAAAGTAATCAAATGTCCATTACATCCTGTCACACAAACCTTCCTAATCCTATTCTCTGGATCTACACAACATGTACTGAATTTTAGCTTTAACTCAGTTCTTTACGAATTCAAGGTATCTAAGATTCAATTCAAAAAAGACAAAAATGTATGTAACTGACAAGCAATATCCAACAAATTATACAGGGACCTTTAGATCCTTCTCTTCTAGTGCTTACATGCTTCAAAGTGGTAATCATGTTAAATGAAACACCACCACAACAAACAACAAAACCTAAACACATGCTGTATGAGGAGATGAGGAATATAACACACTTTGTAAAAGACATCATTTAACTTATCCTGATACAAGAGTAAATAATGTGCTTTAGATAAGGTCTAAGCTATAAATTATAACCCTTATACTGCCATATACCAATGGCAATGTAACCGAACCCTTCTGGAATTCAATGTATAAAGCTAAATACAAGAGAAGAGTGCAGTGGAATGGGAGGAGATTGTAGTTCACAGCACAAATTTAGATTTGAGGAAAACCCTACACACCAGAATCTGAAAAGCTGCCTAATACTTTCTTCTTCCATGTGTTACCTTTTGTTTTTATAGTCTTTGCTGACTAGACTCAATAGTTTGGCGTGGTTATAGACTGTTAGATACCTACAACAGTTATAGGCTGTTCAATACATAACCTGTTCCTTTTTGCACTGTTTTTGTTGACCTTTGAGAAAACTTCTCCCAGGAACATTAGGAAAGAACATAAAAATACTACCTTGTTTAGCTGTTTTGTGCAGAACATGAAAAACTAGCAGGATTAATCTGCTTTCTCTCAGTATCATTTCAAAATGCTTGTTTAAAAGCTTGATTAATGCCAAATGGAAACGTGAGACATGTGCAGATTCTCAATCAGGTCCTTTATTTTCTTCCTGTAATTTTACCAATACTACTTACTTAAGGCCAGGCAAGTCTCTGACACTTGCTGCTATTTCCTCAGCTTCTGGATATAATTTCTCCACAAGTTCCAGAGGACCCCAGATGGTTTTATTGTAACTTAGAAAGGATTTTCTTACTAGGAAAAGAAAAATTAAGTAACTGAATTAATTAAAATTATTGGAGTAGCTTCCTTCACAATAGCTGGTGTGAGAGAAGGGTTAACTGCTGAGCTTAGACTTCAACTGATAACTGTGATGCTGGTCAGTTCACCGGTATTCAAAGCCATCTTCTGAATTACATCCTTATGAACATAAAATTGCTGTGCTAGAACAAAATAGTATAAAAGGGATGACTAGCTAAAAATATAAGCTACATACATAGATACATGTAGTTGTGGAAATTCCAGGACCACTTGCAACAAACAGTATACGAAAGAAAAACATGGAAATGTACGTTGTAAAATATTAATAACGACACTATCAATTATAAAAGGTAGCAATTTTCTCCACTTCTTAAAGCAGCATAACACGCTTCAATTTTATCTTATTCACAAAATAAAGGAAGAAAAATGGCATAGCTGGGATGAGAAATATGCAGCTAGAGCGATTACCACACCTTTAAGACCATGCTTCAGGCAGTGTTCCATGACAACAAAGAACTGCTGCAAAGGTGGGTAGTCAGAATCCAGAGTTCGGCCAAAGCTCAAAGCTGATTCAATGAGTCCTTTGATACTCAATTTAGCCATGTTCAATAAATTTGCTCTTTCTACAGCTGTAGGATCCTTTACAGCTAAGACAATAAAAGAAAAAAAAAAAAAGGGTTATGGTTTAAATTTCAGAAGAGACATAAAGTAATAAAATGGTTCATGGCCACCTTGTTCAAAGATAAACTTACCTTAATGTAGATAAACTCAAATATTTCATAAGTGCTATAAACCATCATGTTACAGAAAAGCATCCACTCCAACAAACACCCTTACAGATCTTACATAGTTTTAACAGATGAATGAAAAAACAAGGCCAGAAATGTCAGCTCTCAAATACATCTCAGTACAACTCAGAAGCAGTCAGTAACTGCAAATTAAAACAGGCATCAATTTTGCACTCAAAAGCTCTGCTGCCTAACAGCAATCGGTGCCCTTACCATGATGTCAAAGCAACATTCCTATTAAGGTATCTATTAAGTATTATTATTATTGTTATTAAGGTATCTATTAAGGTATCCTATTAAGTATCTATTTAGTGTATTATAGTGTACCTACAGAAACAGACATCATATTTTTTATATATAAGCACTTTCCACTGTAGTCTTTATTTCACAGTGACATGAACACATTTTCCTTCTAAGGCTGTACATAGTCTCAGCCAGCAAACTAGGAGCAGTTTCAGGAAAACATTACATATTACATGCTGAAATATGAGTTTCTCATATAGCTACATATAATGTATGTTAAGATATTAAGACACAGATGTAAAAATATCTATACATATTTGTGTCTGAGAAAAAATGTGAGCCTCTTCCAGTACAAATTTGAGTATTGATGTATGACCTTATCTCTGCACATCAGAGAGCATAAAGAGTAAAAAACCCTTATCATTATAATAGACATACTTTCTTAGTTCCTCAAACAGCAATTAAATTACCCATCTCATTTCTTGCATACCACAGCTTTATGCAATTAGGTATTAAATATTAGAATCTTAGAAAATTACTTTCTGATTTTCTGTACTGAAGTATCAAATTACCCTATTACCACAGAACATAGCCTATCACAATTTTCTAGGAAAAACCATAATGACTGAGATAATGTAGGCAAGATAACCTGACCACTGCTTGGGTCAGACTGGGTATCAGTCGGCAAGCAGTGAGCAGTTGTATTCTCTTCCCTTGTTATTCCCCTTATCACTATTATTATTATTATTGGTGGTAGCAGTAGTGGTTTGTGTTATACCTTAGTTACCGGACTGTTCTTATCTCAACCCATGGAATTACATTCTTTTGATTCTCCTCCCCACCCCTCCGGGAGCTGGGGGGAGGCAGAAAAGAGAAGTGAGCGAGCAGCTGCCTAGTTCTGAGTTGCTGGCTGTGCTTGAACCATGACACTTTAAAAACTATTATAGTCTCCCAATTTACCAGTACTTCAACCAAAAACACCCCCAAACAAACCATTAGAAGTCGTTAGAAGACATAGCAGACAATTAGCAACCATGGGCTGGCAAAAATTTACCCAGTCAGCAATCACACCTGGCTAGTTAGCCTCTTGACTTTCTGCTCACTCACCCACCAGGACCTGAACAAACCCTACCAAGGGCAGCCCCAGTTACCCCTGTCTGGAACAGACAGAGGCTTGGAACAACTGGAACATTTCTGTTGTTAAAGCTCATGTCAGCCTTCCTGCCTTTTTATTTGGTCTGCTATTGGCAGTACTAAATACAAGTGTTATTTCAGGAAAAGCCTTGCTCAAAACAGACTTCAGGTAGGTAGCTCTCCCTCAGTCTGTTTTCATAATTCAGTTTGTTTCCCCAAAGGCATCTTACAAATTCCTTTTTCAGATGACCTCATTTTGACTTTTGGAGCTGACACACTTCCATGCCTACTATCGTTTTAAGTATCAGCCCTTTTGCCTGGTCTGAAGCAGAAACACATTTTAAGTCTGTTTTAAAGCTTACTCTACCTATGTATAGCTTTTTCCTTCACCTACTTCTTAAAAAAAAACCATTAAAATTTAAAATTTCAGATAACATTTTCTAGTAACTGCTTCTTAAGCATTGCACAGGGTAGACTATACACACATGGAGCAAAATAAGCTCCTTAAGGGCTCTAAAGGGCCCTTCTCACCCCAAAGCACCAACCCACGAAACGGACTATTTGAAGGTGGTATTGATGTCACCTGTCTCACTAGGGACTGACTAGCAAGGCTTGAAGAGGCAATATTCCTTTTCCAGTCTTGATAACCAGCCAAACCCTTGCTACAAACAGTATTTGTGCAAAAAAAAACACAAGCAGAAAAACCAACCCAAACCTGCAGTCGCTACAGCTACAGGTCTCCCTCTGTCACTCAACAGCTAGCAGAAAACAAGTAGTTTCCTCCACTAACGCGTCCCCGCGGGCATAACCCCCTTACAGCCTGCCCCCGGCACATCACCAGGTCTGCAAGAGCGCCCACACCTGCCACTGACAGGGGGGAGAGAGAGCCGACAGCGCTCGGGCCCGTACCGGCTGACGTACTGCAGGGCCGGAGGCCGCCCCCGCCGCCAAGCCCTGAGGCCGCGGGCCGTCCCCAGCCCCAGTTCCCGCTGCAAAAGCCATTTTCTGCCTGTGCGGGCACCGCCGCAGCGCAGCTCATAGCCGCTACCTCTGACGTGTGAGGGACGCCTGCTGCTGTAGGTCCCTTTCTCCCCGTCCGCTGGCCGCGGCATCCCCGCCCCAGCCCGGCCCCACTCACCCATGGCTGGAGAAGAGGAGCCGTCCCCTCAGCCGCTCCCTTCCCGCCGTTGCGTGAGCCGGGCCCCGCCCCCTCCTCTCTCGCCCAACGGCGCCCCCGCCGGCGGGAGGACCTGTCCGGCGGCCGCGGTCCTTCCACAGCCGGAGTTCAGCGACAGGGCTACAGGTACTGCAGTGTTCGTAGAGCCTGAGCATGGTGGCAGCAAGCTGACCACCCTGGAGAGCTGTATTTTCAGAAACAGAGGGCCAGGAGTGCCAGGGGGCCCAGCCTAGGCACATGAAGCCTTTCATGCAAGAAAAGCACAACCTCGAGCCCTTGCTACCTCTCTCATGACTAAGCTTCAACCTGTAATATCTATTGCAGATAATAATTCTGATACACATTTTCCAGTGCTAGAAAACTAATACTATTACTCCAGACAAACACTTGTGTTCAGAATCTCAAGTAGCGTGGTGAGAATCAGAGTTAATCTTCTAAAACCACAGGTATTACAACTTTTTCATTTGTTATTTTAAACCCCTCCAAAAAACAAATCTCAGAAAACCCAAAACCACTGTAACCCCAGAGGATGAGGGTGTTTTAACACCAAGGAGTTGCATCATATAAAGATGGCATATCGGTTTATGTTTACTGCACCCTAAGCACTATGATTTGGTTTGCCTAATAATTAATTTAAATCATGCTCTTTCCTCTTCCCTTCTTAGGAAAAGCTAATGAACAAGCTGTAGAACACAAAGATATGCTTTCCCTTACCCAAAACAGCACAGGAAAGAAGGATATCCACCCCTTGGCCTGCAAGGAAGGACAAGGGCAACATAGGTATAGAACATGGTAACAAGACCACTTGTTACATCGATGATTCCTACCTCTTAAAAGAAAATAGGAACCTATACACTTAAACATTAAACAGTTGTAGTAGTCGGGCTCTGATTCTACAAGTCTGGCGTGAAACAGCTTGCCTTTCTTTGTTTAGGAATCCCAGCGACACATAACTCTGAGTTAAGATCACTGCAGTTCACTTTCAGGTAGTCATGTGAGGAACAGGAATTTAGACTTGGTCTTATGGATCCCTTCCAACTTGAAATATTCTATAATGCACTAAGTCAATGGTCAATCTGTGTCTGCATTTTTTTCTGCTAGTATCAACAGCTGTTTATGCATAAAGCTGTTGTAAAGGCAAATGGGAAAAGTGATGCTTTTTACAAGATAATCCTTTGATACATGTGCATTAGAATGCAAGAGTGTTTTAGTGTATCACATCTCAATTTTGTTTGAGGGTACTAGATCAAAATATTTAAACTGTACATCCCTGCTCAATCTAATTTTTACCATGCAACAAGAAGAAATGATGCATTTTAGAAGTAGATAAGGAAATACGGGACTGGTTTGTTCCTGCGTCTGATGCAAATATGTAGGGGGAGGGCAATACCTCAGATTTATTTATTAAAGTTTTAATAGCATGCACATCATTTTCTGGATAAGCATAACTTGGTCTAAGAAAAAAGTTAAGCCTTAGGAGTTTTATACACATAGCAAAGTATAAAGCACTATAATAAAAGCAACATCAAACTTTTATTTCAAACATCACAAAAGTTAGGGAGCAGTTAAAAAAAAAAAAAAAAATTACAAGTTTGTCTGCAACTCTATCTATGCACACAACTACTTGACATTGACCCAAAAGAAAACACATACTAATGGTTAAAAAAAAAAAAAATAAATCTATTTTCAGGTTTCCACCAGGAATCTTGGAAAGAAGTTTCTCAGTAATAGTCTAGAGTGTGAGGTAGTATAAAGAAAACAAAACCAGATCTGTTAAGTAAAGGATATTTTGCATTGTACATATTTCTTATCTTTACAAAAAATACAACCTGAGCATGTAAGCTTCTTATTCATAAAGCTGCATCGCTAGTTTCAGGGTTCTGGGGAGGTTGCTTGTGGGGTTGTTTTTTGTTTAAGAAAAAAATACAGATTAGATAAACTGAAACTAGTTTTACTACGATCTTCATATGGGCATAAGATGCTTCTTTGGGCATTATTTCATCCAAATTTATCTGCTAAATACATGACTTCATAAAAGTGAATCAACATCACATCTCTTCCAGACATATGCAAAATCAAGAGATTAGAAAAGTCATGGGATGTTTATAATAGATTAATTGCATTATTTATATAAATATAAAAATATATTTATATATAATAAACACTTTGGTATTTTAAAAAGCAGAAGCACCCTTTAAGGAACATCATGAGGCTCTGAGGAAAATTTTTTCCTTTCTCCCCCCCACCAAATAGCACAACAACACAGTATCTTACTTAGGAATTCTAATAAATGGAATTACTGTATGTAGACTACATTTTAAAGTCTTTAAAACCAAACTCAGCCCAGAAAACTATGACACAATGCAGCACTGGTTCCCCCTCTTCAAGAGTTTTGTCATTCCCTTATGCAGGTAACTGTTTATCAAGATAAAAGTGAAAAAAAAAGTAGCTATCCAGTATCTGAAGGAAGAGTACTTCATATTTCTGATTTGTCTGAAGTACACGGGTACCAAACCAACCATCTTGAACATAGAAATGTGTGTTGTTCTTTTTCCAAAAGGAAAACTCTAAAATAACTGACTCTTATTGCTGATTTTGCTTCATTCAGAGTAAACAATACACATCAGCACCCATATTCCACTAAGCAATCATTTAAATTAAGCAGCACCAGAAGGAAATATACAAATGCTTGTAAAACTCTTCATCTTCGCAATCATAGAATATTACACATCTGGAGACTTTCATGAGCCCCTTCTGGAAGATTGAAGATGTAGAAAGTTAAGGAAGCACTTTGATATCATCACTTTCACAAAAAACACAAAACCTGTTTGAGTATGTATTGGTGTTTGCAAAGAAAGCAGCTAACAAGGTCTTTCCTGTTTAAACAGGCCATGGAAACAGCTGTATGTACAGCAAATTCAGTACAATGCCAGAGAAAGAAAGAATTAAGCAAGTCACCTGAAAGTTACATCGTATTCCATTCTAGCAGCATTACTCATGAACAGTTTTCTCACCAGATGTGTTTAAATGCACGGTACTTAGGCAGAAAACAAATCACACTGACATTAGATGCTAGATCACCAAAAAACACCCACAAAAGCATTAAACATTAAAAATTCAGGCCTCAAAACTAGAAAATACCAATTTGACTTGCAAATCAGCATGAACTGCTTCTGCTTTTGAAGCCAGTGAAGGTTCTAAATCCATTTATTAGCTTGATCTTAAGTATATTTTTGGCACATTTAATTATCACATTTTGGACTGTGTTGCCAATAAGTGCTAAAAGTATAACCTAACTAATCAAAGATCTTCCCATCCTTATCTCAGTAAGCCAATCTTATCTATCCCCTTTCACAAAACAACACAAAGGATATCATTGCCTCAGACTGCAAATGGCAGAGTAGCTTCTCTAAAGGTGGATAGTAGGACAAGGACGGAACACAGCCCACCATGATTAGTTTGTGCTTTGCTCTCGTGATAGCAACATTAAGACGTCGCCAGTCCTTCAGGAGCGTGCCAAGCTGTTAAATAAATGTAACTTGCTTTTATTATTCTTAAATTTCAGAATTTAATGTAGGTAGATGCATTATGAGAATTATTAAAACCGACTGAAAGTTAATATGACCAACTTACATTTTCTTCATTGCCATTTCTAACAAAAGATACAATTATGATACTTTTGTCTCTTCCTTGATATTTGTCTACTGTATTGACTTCAACTCTATTCTCCTTCAGTTTTGCCATCAAATCAGTGATTGTTTTTAATTGATGTCTGTACGGTGATATAATACCAATGTCTGAAGGGTTACAGCCAGCCTGAAAGTAGAAGAAACAGAAGTAAAACAGAAAACAAAACAAAACAAAAACAAAACAAATAAACGAAAAAACCCACAAAAACCCAAACAAACAAAACAAAACAAAAAAAAAGTGGTCACTGCAGTTAACTTCGGATACTCATTACTGCCACAAAACTCTCAAGGATTATTTTTCCTCTTTAAACAGACCTGTGAGATATTGTATCTACATCAAGTCACCAACGGAACTCTAGGTATAACTGGTATTAACTGAAAAAAGATTAGTTACTGCAAGCTCCCAATCTGTGCCTTAACCTAGTATAAAGATATTCTCAAAATCCTAATTTTTCTTTCTTCCTCAAATGGTGAAGTGAACATTCAAAACTCCTTGTCTGTACTACTCCTGAAGTTGACTGGATGAAATAAGGAAGAAAGGCAAATCTCTCACCCCTACCTCACAAGAAAGTCATCTCTTAAAAGAATACAGCAGCCAGCTTTTCTTGCATCCAAAATCCAGCTGGGCAAGGCACAGGAAACAGAATGCAGACCTCAACCTCCTCACTATATTGACATGTAGCCAACCTTCAATTTATCCTTATGATTATAATTCAACAAATAAATCATTACATATATTGTATCTACATATATTTATATCTACTTATATGTTCATATATACATACATTCATATATATACATATATTCATACATACATTCATATCTATACATATATATTCATATATACATATAGTCTTCATTACTACAGCAGCATAAATATTACTAATTATAAAGATGTCCCTATGTACAATGTAATAAAGTTAAAGATACCTTAATAAATAAGGATGTGAGGAAGAGTACTAGTTTAGCTTCTGTCATGTTACTTACACCACCTTTTTCTGCATGTTCTGGTGCTGGAACCTATAAAAACAAACCAGAAAATAATGACTTTTGCTAACCTACAGTGACATACTATGCTCTGATCAGCATATCAGCTAAATGCTTAATTTTACAGAGTGCAAGAGTCTATACTGTGAAGTAACTTCAGAAAACATTTGCAAAACAAGTTGAAACAATTTACTTAAATGACTTCCTAGTATTAGCAAGTGACCTTAATAAACTGCAAATCTTGATCTTTTGACTTTACAGTTCACACAATATACATCATTTGAAAAAAAAAAAAAAACAAACCAAAAAACCCCAACATTTCCCAGCCTGACAACATAACAGAACAAACTGCATTTCATACAGGACTTCTGTTTTAAAGCTTTCCATTCAAGAATGTTTACAGTGAATTTTTCCCATTCCAATGGCAGATGTTTTTTTTATTTTAATGTTTCAAAGCCTATGTTTAAAACTACAGGAAGAACTATCCAAAATGGTAGTATTAAATCCCTGCATCATGTATGAATGAGACCATAAAGGCAGGAACAAGCTTATAATGTAAATTCTTGTTATATCAGTGTGTTTTACAATTTATTCTCTTTGCTTAGCTCTTGCCTTCTCTAAAGTTTAACCAGTATCATTAGTAATAAATGTGCCCGTGATATTGTCCTTCTAGTAACCTGGGGCACAGCTAAACATCTGGGGTCAAGCAACAAACTCCTTCACAAACAGTCCAAAACTGAGCATACACTAAACTGCTTTCTGGCTCCAAATTCCATTTATCATTCCCATTTACTGCCATTTACTACTTCAATTCCACTACTTGCCTTTGACACTAGTGACATAGGTCAACTTTGCTTTCTTAGATGCTACTTTGTTCAGTTTTCCTTCCAAATTATTATGACACTTAAAGTGGAAGGTGGTATAGCCTGACGTAAAGAAACACTCAGAATCCCATTACAACTAGTTTTACTTCTCCAAACATCCACCCAAATATAATCTTAATGGCTGAATTTGGAGATCACTATAGTGTTTAACATGTAGGTAAAGTAATAAATTGTTAATATTTGTCAGAGTATTCCAGGTAACTGGCATCTCCTTACCACCATGTATAAAATCTGACATTGTACAATATGCATCAAGAACTTCACAAATCCAGGAATTTAACTGACTGGGAAGCTTGCTAAGTGTAACCTATGTTCAATACCTAGCACACTACACTAAAGCACTGCACTTGAACAGAAAAATAATCTAACGGAGATTGACAAAGCCATGTGCAACACTGCTGCAACTCTAAATAGTGGTCTTTGAGGCAGCACATATATATATATTAGTAATAGGCTACTGCACCACATTTATTTTAGGATTCCAGCACATACAAAAAAAAATAGTCTGTATTGTGTTAAGTAGGATACTACGTACTTCAGCAAGAATCCTATTCTTATACATGTCAAAGCTTTTTACATATCATAGTTAATTTTCAGTACGTTGGCTACAGAAGCAGAATATATTTTCCTTCATATTGTAAGATTCAATTGCCTTTTCCAAAACAGCAGCTTCACCATAGCTTGTCTCTCAACAGCTACATAGCTTAATACTTCCTGTAAGTTAACACTGCCATTATGCACTCAGTCCAACTGTAATGACCTGTCATATCACAACTGAATTAAGAGCTAAGCTACACTGTTACAGCTATGCTGTTTGCTGGGAGTTTGGTGGTTGGGGGTTTTTTTGTTGTTTTGGGTTTGCTTGTTCAGGTTTGGTTTTGTTTTTAAATTCGCTATTCTGAAAGCATCACACTTGAGAAGCCTCCAAATTTGCATGTGACTAATTTTTCTTCAAGCAGAAAAGAGTTTTAATGAACTGTTCATTACTATCCATACTAGCATTGACATAGCAAAGACTAGAAAACTGATTTAGGGGAAAAAAGTTCTAAAAGGCAGGTAATGCTTAAGATAGTATATTTGCATAATACACTAAAAAAACCCTAACAAAACCAACTTTGGCCTAGAATTACTCACAAGACTGATAATAAGTCAAGGATATAATTTTCAAACATTCTGAGCCAAACTGTCAGAGGACAGGCAGACTGTCACGGGATTGGACAGAAAAGCAACAAACACATTTGCTTACTGTAGCAAATATGTCACACTAATAATCAGAAACCAAGAGGGGCTTTTTCCAAAAAATAAGCAGAATAAATCTAAGCTACCTTGCTTGGTGTCATTTGGTATTTTTTCCTGGTTACACTATGAATAACAGAAAACAGGAGGGGGGAGGGAACAGGGACAAAAAGCAGCTCAAAGAAAACAAAATAAATGCTGGTTTTATTTATTACTGTGTTTGGAGGAAAGGGGGTGGTTCCCTCCTTCCCCCACCCCATGACTACAACAATACATGAAGTTTTGACAGGAAGCCCAAAAAGAGACAGATGACATTATAGCCTAATGTCTAAACAAAACCAGGAGCGTTTTGGAAAGTGAAGCTTTCATGCTGGTTCTACAAACAGAACAGCTGTCTCGTACTAAGAATGGGCTTTGTAGGGAAGAAAAAAAAAAAAAAAAAGAGGAACAGGAACTCTAGCTTTGAGATTACCAATTTTGGTATGATTAATAGATGAACAATGTATCAGCCAGTTCTCTGCTGGAATAAACCTCTTCCCAAGGACCAACTATCTGCCTCTCTATGAAAGGGACAGCAGCTATTGAAGCATTTCTAGAAAAGGTCCCCCTGTTTAGTTTACGCATTTTTAAAAGTGTCTCTAAGTCACTAATTAAACACTCTGTTTCTTTTTAGACCAAAAACTGAAAATATGTACTAATTTATTAGTCTTTTTCCACATGCATTTAAACTCTTGCTCATTTTATTTAGAAGTAATTTTCTTTACATGATTCTTAACCACTCTATAGAGTTTCATTTTTCTGGCAAACATTTGAGTCTCCATTAAAGGACACACCTAAAGCAACTTGGTCCTCCCTCACACTTCAGTGTATACAACATCTGTGAAATTCAATGGAGTATTGCAATTTTCCATGCCATTGGTACACATCCTAGACACCATGGACACTGGAAATGAGGACATTCTATGCTTGCAAGGGCATCCAATACGGCCACACACTTTGAGCTACACTATGTACATCAAAAGAAAGTGATAGCATATTCGTCTAAAATATCCAAATTAAACTTTTCTGCTGCTCTTAGATGCAATTGTAATACAGGTACTGCTGGAACATGTTTTACACGTTCACTGTATTGAGAACTTGCATCAAAACCACAATTTTGAAGGGAGAACATAATGAAAAGAGAACATTACCTTCTCTGTGTTCAGAAAACACACAGGTGTGCCTGGATCAAGTACATTTTTCAACCATGTTTTTGAGGAATCTGCAAGGTCCAGTTTCAATTTTATTAGGTCAGGCAAGTTAACAGTGGCATTTGACACCTTCTCTGAGCCACATTCCAGTTTGCCTTCATATACTAACACGTTACTCAGTGACATAATTTTGCTGAAAATTGAAAAAACAAGAAGAGGCATTAAATCTCGCATTTTCAATCCCACATTAAAACTCCAATATAGTAGATAAAAGTTTAAAATACCTATTCATTCTGTACTGCACAGTCAATTGGACAACAGCATTTTGGTTTTGTTCCAGCCTTTTAAATAAGCTTTCACTCATGCCAAGATCTCTGTCACAAAACAAAAAAATAAAACCAACAAAGATGTGTCACTTGAAACTGAAAAACCTTTCCAAAAATTCATGTTATTAATAATTGTCCAGTAGCATTTTCTCTTACTTTGCTTCTGCATTCAGTACAAGTGGAGGCAGCTGCTGATGATCCCCTACCAGCACAAACCTCTTGGAGCAGAACAGTGGGCCCAGACAGATGAGCTGGCTTATCTGGGAAGCTTCATCAACAATACAGAAATCAAACTGCCTCTGAACAAAGATAGGATGATTTACTCCCATGCAAGATGTTGCTACCACTGCCTGAAAATTGAGACACATTTTAAGGATAAGCTACATCTTATACCCTTTAGTACTACATTTTCCAGATTAAAAGAAAAAAAAAATCCCACTAAAATGAAATGTAAATCAAATCAAATTATTAATCTTCAAAATCAGACCAGTACACTTTAGTTACCTATTGGTCTCATATGCTTGCATTGACTGCAAGGGACAAACAAAAAGCAGCTTACAGTAGACTGTAGTAAATAACTTGCTCCTGCATGTATTCAGTGTATCAGGTTCTATGCATACACAATCCATGGAGTGGGCTGAAATGACTGCTGTGGAAAACTACATGTTTGGTTGGGGTTTTTTAATCCCAAAGATAAAACTGCAGCAGAGTTCTTCACAGTGCTGTGCTTCCACTGCAATACAAAATGACTAGAATATGAAACATTGTCACTTCCCTTATGACTTTAATCATTCCCCTGCAATGCCTATCAACAAAAAAAGTAAATGGCATCTTTTGCAAAGTTGGCATTTATTCCAACTACCATGAAGCTTCATTCTATCAAGAAATTTAATCGAAAGCTGCCACTGATTCGGTTTACCCAGCTCCCATTACAGTTTGCATTGATATTCACACAGGCAGCACTTATTTTTCAATCAAAAATTAGTGCTCAGCCAGGTCAGCTCCACAACACACCACTTCCTCTTCCCCATCTGCTCACTGTATTAATGGCCTAGCAAGCACAAGTAGGAGAAAGAAAGAGAGGAACAGCAGCAACAGGTGCATAATGATAAAGAAGGCTGCAGCATTTCACTACCCCCACCCCCACAAGATCTCAGATAAAGGCACTGGAGTCTTTGGAACTTATTACAAAGCTAAGTTACCTTTTGTAGACATAAACAATGATTTCAACTTTAAGACGGTTAACATTGGTCATTATTGCTATAAAGAAATTGAAGATACGGAGTATCTTTTTCAGCTCAGATTTCATATAGCGATAATACACCTTTGGGATGAGTTCCTTCCCTGTGGCATCCAAACAACAATACTACTAATGTAGTTATCCCTTAATAATTGGCAGGGCTAGCACAAATATCTTCTCACCTGACTGTTGTAGACCTTTTCCAGATCTGCTACAGATTTTATTGATTTGGACCTGAAAATTTCCTCTTCTGTAAATTTCCGTATATCTGGATGAACCTTCTGAGCTCTCCCCAAGCGCAGGAAACCCACTTTGAATTTGGCTAGCTTTAGCAGGATATTGTCCACAGCCGTGTGTGTAAAACTAGTCAGAAGAACACTGAAGCCACAAGCAGAAAGAATTCTCACCTAACGAGTTGCAAAGGGAAGGGAAAGGTATTAGTTCATAAAGAAGAATCAGCAATCCTGTGTTTGACTAGGTAAAAAAACACAAAGTTTTAGAAGGAGTGAATAACCAGCATGACTTAATTTATATCAGTCTTTCTCAACAGATCTGCCAGTTAGCTATTGTCAAAGCAACATGGCCAATAGACCTGATGGTTCTCATAAACAGCAGGCCTGCTATACACGTCACAAACACTGGGAGCTAAGAAAACCCACACGCGCTCAAACAGCACTGAAAAGAAGGAACTGCACCCTAAAGATCCTCACTGTCAGAACAAGTCATGCAGCCAGTTCCCACAAGCACTGTTCTCCGTGACAGTTTATCCACAACAGATTCAGTAGAACAGGCTGGTCTGATGATAGCAGCAGCTGCTTGCTTCCCAGCCTCCTCTTTCCCCATGAGTTGATGGCAACTGGAAATGAGGTGAAACTGCAATTTCAAGGAAAACTTGCTCAGCCCACAGTCTGAATCCAGTATGCTCCTATAGTCCATTCCTGGGGAAAGAGAACCACTAACTAGAGGAGACTGCTAGCAGGCTGTACATAGCTGCAGCACCATGGGTTTATAAAACTTACAGTGAACAAATTACTGAATTCCCCAAGGAGTCCCTTTTCCAAACTGTAACTCAGGATTTGAGGACAGTTGTGGCCAACGAATTGTAATATTAAAGTGTCACAGAAGTGATTAAATATCACACTTCAAGCTCCTCCCTTCCACATACATTCCTACACAAGCAAGAGATTCCTACTCCACAAAATACATTTTTAGTTATACTAAATATAAGTTAAGTAAAAGGAAATGCATTTTCTTTGAAATTATGCAGATACCAGTAGACTAAGTCACAACAATTTTGGGCAGTATGCCTTGGACACAATTTGTCTAATGCTATCCTCTAAATCTCATAAAAAAATACAAACATCAAGGTACACAGTCTTACTAGAGCGCATATTGTAGTAGTTTTTCCTGTTCCAGGCATACCCACAATAAGTGTGTAGTCTTTTGAAAGGAGCACTTTTTTCATTGCCTGTTTCTGTGGCTTATTTAGACCTTTAAGAAGAAAAATCAAAATGAAATGTCTATACTTTATAAACATTGCAATAATTGCTAAAGTTAGCAAAACAAAACTATAGTTTCCTCCTCCACTAGACCCCTTAAAGAAAAAAACTTGAGCAGAGTACGTCTATATGTTCTAATGAAGTGATGATATTAAACATAATACACAAAACACATAATACAGCATCTGTACTACTGGAAAAGATATTTTTATTCTTAGACCTTTCTTGCCTTTTTTTCAACACCTTCATATGATATCGTGTACAGGCATTTCTATTTTATCATACCCACTAGCACATTCAAGCATAAAGCTCAGAGAAAAGGGAAATGAGTTGCACACATAGCATCATTTTGTTTAGAAGCAGCATTATGTTAGAGCTGTGCTTCCCCAGCCTGACGTAAATAAGCAGTACATTCCAGCTATTTGAGCTAGGCAAAGCTCAAGTAAAAAAAAAAAAAAAGTCTTCAGACTGAGTTTTAATGAAAAGTTCTGTTTGCTCTAAGAGAATTCAGTTAAATTTCTGCTTTCACAGAAAATTCTGTCAGAGAATAGTGCAATATTATCACCAAATACCAAACATTGCCACATACCTAAATAAGTTTTGTTTTTAAAAAAGACATTAAAAAGCAACACAAAGTATCACACACTACAGAACAGCCAACAAGTCAGCAAGAATGATTACACAAGTGAATGCTTACACCAAAGCTTAACTCATTCCACTCTCAGTCTGCTTCCTCTATCCCAAGAGCCTTCCCTGTTCCTTCCTTTTGTAAAGGTTACGGAGGTAATTATACAGTGCACTGTTTGAAATTGCAAGCTGCAACAACAGGAGTAAAATAAAGGGGTACACAAATATCTGGTCAGGTGTTCCAACTAGTTTAAGACTTATTTAAAGGAAAACATGCAAGGTATGAACTTGGTTTTAACTTTTAGGCAGAAAACTATCACTGGGATCAAAAGTATGAAAAATCCCTTATATTTAGTGCGATAAAAATTCTGGCTGTAGAGATGCACCACCTAACAGGATTTTGGAGAAAGCCACTTTGTACCTTTTAAAATATTTGCAACAGTTTCCTTTGCTTCTGGAGGAAGAACAGAGCTCAAATGCTGAATAAAACGCGGTTTGTGGAAGTCAATGATCAAGTTTCGGAGCCTTTCACTGTGAATAAAAGAACCCAACCAAGAATAATTATCAGTTGAGAAACTTCACCTGAAAATATTGAAAGCGTCAAATTAATTTGATTTCTCATACCTGACTGGGGAATCTCTCATCAATTTAGAAAGGTTTTCAAAAGTGACTCCTATGCCAAAATTGCCTTCTTCATGATCCAACCTAAATATGATGTTCTTGGGGAGCTTTGACAAATTCCTGAAGGATAACAGTAACATGGACAAAATAATTATGTTTACAAGCAGTACGCTGATGATTAAAGACTTGTTACTAAGTGTTAAATGTTATCTGCCAGGGGTCCTAGGGTGAAGCAACGACTAGAAGAAATACATAACTGACCTAAATAAAACACTACTGGAGCCCAATTTAAAGACAATATAGTCCAAATAAGAAAAATTACTATTAGCACAGTAATCACTGTATCAATATAGTCTCACACTGGAGTCACAAGTAAACGGACATTTGCAAGCATGCTTTTATTCAAACAACATGGTTAAATAGACAGGCATGTATGCTGACCAAGTATTGAACGTCTCAATCAAAGTATGAAAATTTCTGAAGGGTACCTCCCCAAGCCCAGCCAGAGAAGTCAGAACGTGTCAGAGCTTTCAGAACACCCAGAAGCACCCTTCCTGAAGCCAATATCATAGCATCTTCAAAACAGATATTTTGCCTTGCATTCTATTACCTGTCCAACAAACAGGAGACCTTTGTCACACTGACTTCGTTAACATAGCCAGTAGCCAAACCAAGAAAACCATTTTCCTCTCCACTCACAACCACTCGATCACCAACCAATAGGTTTGTTCCAGGGATGGCACCATTTCCACGTTGGAAGATATGTAGGTACTTTCCCTCAGAAATTTCCTGTACTTCTTCAACTCTGATCATGTTCCCAACACAATCTCCAGTCTTCTCTCTGAAGATAATGGAAAAATAAATATGCTTTAATATTAAAACACTCTCAGTGAGAGAAATATTAAAAAAAGTAAAAAAATATTACCTATAACCAACCAAACCCAATGGCCACTCCTCCCAAATATAAACCCCAAAACCAAAAAACCACCAACAAAAAAACACAAGACAAAAACGTCCCACAAACAAAAAACCCTAAAGCAACAAGACAAAAAAACAGAAACAAAAAAAAAAAAACACCAAACCCACAAACCATGCACACCAAGAACCAGGAAGATTAAGTAGTCTACCCTTATACTTGTTCCAAGAACAGACTCTAATATTTAGGCTAAAGTTATCTATAATCTCCTGTTAAAAAGCAAATAGCAAAACATACAGATCCACTTCACTAAAATGTTCTATATTTGCTTATGGCGTTGCCTGTTTCACCTAAAACAACTCAGCTACATGTCACTTTTACAGATGCCTTGAAATGGGTCTACAAACCACCAATTATTTTTTCCCAGCTGATGGACTAGGTAATGTGTAACACCATGCTACCTCAGAAAACAAGAGCCTTTAGTATGCTTTTACCCACGTTCACAGCCACACCTAGGAGTACAGTCCAAAATGTGTCATTGTTTGCCAAGTAAGCCCTCAGGAAAAGGGCACAATGAGCTAGGCTTCTTAAGACTGAGGCTGCCGTTTGCTGCTTCCAATGGGTCACTTAAAAAAAAAAAATTAAAAAAAAAAAAAAATAGAACAAATACAAAACCAATAAATCTCTCAAAAACTCTACCTGTGCAAGTCGCACAGGTGACTATTTCTACAATCACTATTCTACACTAGAAAACATCTTTTATTCCTTGTGGTGACAAGACAAGTTACAATGCTTCATTTCCTGTTACTGAAGGGAATATTATTTGTACCAACTTAGAATTTACATCTTACCTTTCCAAAGATGGCATCATCCATATATTTTTATATCCGTTTTTACCCTCTCCACTTTGCAGTTCCAAGGTTAACATTAGGTACCACAGGCTGAAATACTCTAAGTGGGAGGGTTTCAGGTGCTGGGTCTCTCTTTCAATAATGGGTACCATAGCAGGAGGAAAAGACACACTGGCCATCTTCTGTTCTACAGCTCTAAGAGTAAAGCCAAACACAGGAAAAAAATCAACTTTTATCTTATTTTTCTTGTAAGTTTTATGTAAGCAATGCTGACCTAAATATATACCATAGCATACCAGATAGATTCAACTTTATTTCAGTGATGATAATCTATATTCTTTATTAATGTGAACAATCTCATGTTACTATCTTTACATCATCTCTATGATTTTGAGTTATGGAGAACAACAAGTTAACCAAAGAACAGTTGAAGACATTTCAAAGATAGTAATGTATACATTCAGCTAGTTGATCTTTTATTCCTTTTTTGTAACCTATGAATACTACATTGAGATTTAGCTAAGTGGATTTAATAGTTAATACAGAAGCAGACTTTAATTCAATTTATCTCAAAACTAAGTATCAATAGACATTATACCTAATCAGAAATACAAAATGCAATGAAAAAAAGTTGTTGCAGCAGTGAACAGCTACCCAGTTAGCAATAAACCTCTTGCTCTAACAACTGAATATTAGAAGTAATATTTCACAAAAACTAGTTTACAAAAACCTATCATGTATGGCCATTAATCTAGCTCCTTCAACTACACTTTCAGCCCTACAAGTTGAAAAACAAACATGCACCATATTTACACAAGATTATCCCAAAATCTTTCCTGTTCTAACATATCTCATTTGATCTCTTCAATATACAATTTTGGTTCTGTTTTTTTTTTTTTGTGCAGCATATAAACAAGAGTAAAATCTAATTGTTTTTAAAACAATTTAATAACTTTATGTGAAAATTTGTCAAGTATTTGCTCATTACTTCTCTTCAACAGGAGATGCAACACTTTAGCAGAGTAGTATCAATGCACTTGTCCTGAGTAAACCACAACAGTATCAGTACTTGTGTAATACCCTATAGGAAAGCAGTCTCCTACAGAGTCAAAGTGAAAAAGCTGCTGTCCAGCCATAATTCATTCTTAAAAGACTGCTATTTGAAAGAGCTGAAAGAATATACCTTTTAAAATCATTATTATTTACTTAGATGCAACAGACATCAGTTATTATCATCAAGTATTTGGTCGAGGCTTATCTCAGACTTTGCCTTGCAGGAAGTGTACCTGAGCAAACACATTGAGTGTGTGTGAGAGTAGGGACCTGCACTGTAAAAGTTGCAGTGGGGTCTGTGGAGCATTCTTTTGGAGTGCAAGAGTCCTCAAAGAAATAAGAGGCTGTCAACCACAAAAATGAAACCACAGTATCAAAATCTACAATTATTCAAGCTTATTTAAAAACACAAGTCTAAACTTTTTTCTTTTTACCTGCTGTATAGAAAGCAGTTGTGTACTTGGGAGCAATATTTACAGGCTTGACTGTCATCTACTACAGGAGGCAAAGCAGCAAGCTGTGAATTTTGTCTTCCCATGGCAGATTCATGTGTACTGTGCATTAAGTAGAAGGCCACATGGTTTCTTAACTTCATTAATTCTGTCAAAGAATTAAAAAACAGAGTAAACTGAAGGGTATGGTTTTGGGTTGACTGTAATACTAACTCAAAGTAACCAGCTATCAACTTTTTAGTCAGCTAAGAAATAGATGGCAAAGTCTTAGGGGAGTTACTAATAGAGCAATTAAGTTTTTAGCATAAACTTATTGGAATTAGTAACATTGTAACAAGCAACACACCCTTAAGTACAGATATGTTCATAAGAGTAAACCTTATAACTATTACTAAAATGTTTCATTTTAATTAAGATAATTAAGATCTGTGGGGAAACGGCACAACCTTACCTCTTCGGTCCATGCGACCTCCAGAAACAGGGTACATAGTACCAGTTTTAAGATAAAGAAGAAATCCAGCTTCGGGATCTACTCGCCGTTCCAAGTTCAACAAAGTATACAGAATAACCTGCAAACATTATATATAAAACTTATTACAATGTATTAAAACCAAAATACTTTATACAGTGTACTTAATTTTTCCATTATTGGTACGGTTAAGCAGCCACCATCATGACAACTAATCTAGAAGCTGTAAGTAGTAAGCACCTAGCCAAGGATTTCAGTTAAAAGGTATCTTCCTTAACAGAAGCTTGTACATAAGGCTACTACTTCTAGATCAGGTCAGTTAACCAGAAAGATGTATAACACTAATTCCTCAAGCAGTCTGCCTGAACCTAATACTTGCATACAGTAAGAAGAGACTGAAGAACAGATACACTAAGATTAAAAAAAGCCCCAAACAAGCAACAACCTACAAATGCATTTGTAAGTGGTAAACATATATACTTCTCACTGCTCAGTTCATTTTCATTTCGTATCAGCAGCTTCGAGCATGCTAGGATCAGCCATCCATAAATCTAGATGATACCACATACAAAATGTTTCATATTCATAAGACAAAATAGATGAGCTAATAAAAAAAATTACATAGCCATTGACAGTGAAATTAGACACACGGTTCTTGTACCTGACTTCTGTGCTCTATGGAATTAGATTCCTTGCCAGACTTGAGCTCTAATGGCACTACCCTAGACTGTACTCCAGGCTGGCGATGGATTTTCACTCTGGCTGTAACATCAATCTTTCCCTTCAATCCAAACCTGGGAGACCATATATTCTCTTCAATGTCTAAGATATCTACAATCTCTATCTTACAAGAGAAATCTTCTGTTTTTTCACCATTGGACCTAGGAAGAAATTGAAGTTGGAAGTTAAGTTTCCTTTATTTCTTACTATTGAAATATTAAAATGTAATTTAATATTTATGGCTTTGCAATATAGGTACTCTTTAAGCACTAACATTCTACCTACAAGTGCATTGAGTCTCACTCAAACTCTCTTCCCCTTACAGAGGAGCCATCATATCAGAAAGCTACTTTAAATTGCACATTAGCTGGTTTTAATAGGTTTTTGTATCCTTTGAACAACCACACTCTAAAATACTTTGTGCTTGAAGTTTAAGGATATACACTGATTTTATACATATACCGATTTTACTTAGATCTGCCATCTCAGCAAAACTTTCACACATGGCTATTAACATCAGGAAGTCATAGACAAGAGCTTAGCAGCAGTTGAGTAAAATAAATATTTCCCTGATAAAATGTTACCCTAGTGAAGAATTACATCTCATTAATAAATAATTTCACATTTTGATTTGTAGTCTTGCACATGCCTACAGTAACAATAGAATCATAGACTATTATGATTTGGGTTTGGGTTGGAAGAGACCTTAAAGATCATCTAATTCCCTGCCATGGGGAAGGATGCCTTCCACTAGGCCAGGTTGCTCAAAGTCCCATCCAGCCTGGCCTGTAACTTCTGATACAGTAAATCAAATATGCTTGCTTTTCTAATTACTAAAATTTCTACTTTGTACTACCTAGCTTACAAAGATTTTAAGACCAGTATGATTTTTATATCAGTTCACCCTGAACTGACAAAATGTTTAACATCTTCCCTAGTGCTCAAAGTGGCAGTTAAACTTGCAGCACTCAAGATTAGCCATTCTGGCAGTAAGGCCATAAATTAGCTCCATATGCAAACACATCTGCATAAAAAGTGTTGATCCAAATGTGAAAGGTGAACCAAACAAGATACACAATGTAGAACAGTCTTAACTTTTAATTCTGGCTTCTTACAGTTTTAGTTGCATTTTATTTTGGTTAGCTGGATTGTGCATAAAGTCTTCTGCCCATTTAAAAAATGATGGCAAATACTCTTCCACTTCCCTCATTATTTCCGTTTGTCTCAGATTTAAATGATACCTAAAAAAATAAAGCCATGCACATAACAAGGCAAAAGCATTAGATTTGCTCCTAGTACAAACAAGACTTTTCATGAAATAGCAACAAGATCAATAGAAATAACTATCAAGTTTCAATAAACATCTATAAATTGTAGATAATGGCAGGTTCATTAAGATTCAACTTGCTGATTTGTTCATAAAACTATAACTGAACAACCACTATAAAAGACAGAACACGTGTTCGTATCTGATGTAGCCTTCAAAATGTCAGGTGTAACTCAATGAAAGCATCAGCATGGTAGATGTGATGAAATGAAAGCTAGACTAAAAAAGGGGTATCGGACTCATGCATTTTAAAATGGCTAATCCTACGCTGTATGTAAAATTGAAATCATTAAAAAAATAAAATAAAAATTGAAAGACAGCCATTTGGTTTTTGCCTGAATACTGATGTGCTACTTGTTCTTCACATATATTTTGACAGGCCTTAAACCATCTTAAATTTTAAATGAAAAGGAATCATGAGAATCGGCAGCTGCTACAGTTAGAAATACACATGAAAACATAAGTTTCATTAAACTGAACCTAATCAAGTGGCATTAGATAATTCATTGCTGGCATTCTACAATTCAGTGGATATAATGTCATTTTTCTACAGCAATAGGGAAATACAAGTAAGTTTTGCACAAAAATGTTTATACAAGTGCAAATGAGCACAGCCAGCAGACATACGTAACTTACTTTTCAATCCTAACAATTAATAGCATAGACACAAAAAGAGTAATTGCAAGTCATCAGTTCCAGAGACACAGAGTGATACAAAAGGCTTTAACTCATCTCAGAAGTCACAATTCAAGATGTCTACCTTTATAACAGAACTAGTGTAATAAATATTTTAATTAATTTTAACTTTGAGCTCATCTGGGGCTAACAGATACTGACATTGCCCAATACACAATTCCTAACAATATGCATATATATTTATTATTTTTTTTTTACATTACTTAAATTCCATTTTAATCACGTCCACATTTCTACCATCTTTGCAGAGAAAACAGGTTAAAGGTCCTCTAACAACTGACCTATTAAGTAATCTGACAAAGAACATGAAAATATCAGACACTCAGTGCTTGGTCAGTCACAAGTTTCAATCTCTTGAGGAAATGCCTGGAAATTTAATGTTACAGGCACAAACACTCCAACCTGCTTGGCCTGAAAGAAAAAATACACCACACATACAGTTACTCCAGAAGCATAGCTCAGATCTGTAGAAGTTGCTCAGCAGGGAAGGCAAATTACACTACAGAACATTATCTTACTAAGACATACCAAAGTTTCATTAAACAAGTTCATTTGGTAGAATATTCTCAGAATATTAGTGCTGTTTTTTAAATTAAAACTAAGGTTCTAAGATATGTCTGGTAACAAGGTTCTAAGATAAGTCTGCAAGCTCAAGTGCTCCTACCCTGTCTTCCAAATATAAAAGTCACCTGCAATGCTACTTACATTTCTTTGAGATACTTCTGTCCATACACAATTTTATTTGCAAGTTCTTCTACTTTTTCTTGTGCCAAGTTATTTGTTACTGATTGCTGGAAAATTTCATGAAGAATTGTACCAACAAGTGTTTGGCGCGAACCAGACTCTGAGCCCTGCAACAGATGTTAAATAACACATGTATATATGTGAAGATTCACACCCACTTCGTGCCAACTTATCTATAAAATTTCTTGGTTTTATTTGCTGCACAATGGACTGCACTTACTTAATTCTAAGACAATCAGGGCTTTCACTTCACTAATACCTGTTCAAATCTGACTGTGAAAACAGACAGTTTGAAATGGGTCTTTCCCTCTTTATCTCTCATTTTTATTCGAACCCTGATAATGTTAGGATACAATCACTGTGATTGACAGGTGAGAAACAGATTAAAATCTGTTTTGAGCAAGTTTTGCCTGTGGGTAGTATTAATATTAGTATTTTCTAATGCAAATCCTTTTACAATCTTACAGATACTATCTTTTTGTATGCAGCAGTTTCCTGTGTGTTAGCAACTTGCACAGAATTATTCCAAGTATCATCAAAATGGCTCAGAAACCCATGTAAGCATCACAAGGACTGGGCTCTGTAGACTCATACAAGTTCAAAGTAGTGATCAGTTATGACCTCTGCACAAGCCACCACCAAACTGGAAATCTACACACTGTTGTTTAAGTACTTACTCGTATCTTTTACAGACCTGGCACTTGTGGGCTGCATTCACAGCTGGTGGATGGCATTATCCCAGAGTCAGGACTTTCTGCATTGTCCTTTCCAAATCATAGAATCATAGAATCATAGAATAGTTAGGGTTGGAAAGGACCTTAAGATCATCAAGTTCCAACCCCCCTGACATGGGCAGGGACACCTTGCTTTAAACCATATCACCCAAGGCCTCATCCAACCTGGCCTTGAACACTGCCAGGGATGAAGCATTCACAACCTCCCTGGACAACCTATTCCAGTGCCTCACCACCCTAACAGGAAAGAATTTTCTCCGTACAGTCAATCTAAACTTCCCCTGTTTAAGTTTTAACCCACTACCCCTTGTCCTATCACTACAGTCCCTAATGAAGAGTCCATCCCCAGCATCCTTATAGGCCCCCTTCAGATACTGGAAGGCCGCTACGAGGTCTCCACGCAGCCTTCTCCAGGCTGAACAGCCCCAACTTTCTCAGCCTATCTTCATATGGGAGGTGCTCCAGTCCCCTGATCATTCTCGTGGCCCTCCTCTAGACTTGTTCCAACAGTTCCATGTCCTTTTTATGTTGAGGACACCAGAACTTAACACAATACTCCAAGAGAGGTCTCACAAGAGCAAAATAAAGGGGCAGGATCACCTCTTTCGACCTGCTGGTCACAATCCTTTTGGTGCAGCCCAGGATGTACAGAGAGGAGAAAGAAATCATGTAAAGTCTGGAGATGGTCCCACTATTCCTACACTCTACACCATCAGTGTCAGTGTGTGACACACAACACGTACCATAATAAACATAAAAGCAGAACAACACTTACTGATTTAACTATGCTAGGCAAGAACAGAAACAAAACATTCACAACTGCAAGGTTTTTGTTATGAATGTGTTAAAGAGTCAACAGTTCTTATTCACATTAAGGTAAATCTTTTAGTTAACATGCTCTCTGTCACACTCAGCTAGCACACTGGCTATCAGCTAAGTATATAACTTATAGCCAAAACGAGTACCTGTTAGAATATGCGCAGCACTTGCCCATATTCTACTAACTTTGCAGCTATCCTGAAATAAAACATATAAGAGAAAATATGAAGCAGCAGGCAACAGAAGTACAGCTGCTCTCTCTACCTACATTGTATATGACGTCACGCAACTCCCTGTCAAGAAGCCTGCAATGCTACAGCCTACTTGGTCCCTCACCCCAACCTCTGCCTTTTGTTCCAAATGCAATTTTAATCAGTCATACGCAGAAGATTTTCATTTTGCCTCTTTTAGAAGTCATCATTTCCTAACAGTCTATTTTCCATTAAAACCCCTTTTTAAAGATTCAAAGCCTTTTAGCATTTTAGTATGCTCATCTCACGGAAAAAAAGCACAGGCAGCTCTACATGAAAGTTGCCAAAATCTTGGGGTGCAGTATGATTAGTTTGTTCCTATTACTCCTCTAATGAAGGGCTGACACCATTTCACAGTCTTCTCCTGTGCTTTGATCTTCTTGTTTTACTCACAGGCTCCCAGCCAGACCATGTACTCTCCATTACGATTCCTGGCCCATTTGGATTTATATCCCTACCACATCTGGAAGTTTTCCTCAACTGAAACTGGCAGCTGTGACTTCTCTGCCACAGATCAGTGCTGATACTACCACAAGAATCTTTTCCTGTTTCCAAGTTCTTGCAGCTGGATTCAGATTACCAAATCAGCCACACCAATTCTTGATGAATTGGCTAATTTTTTCAGACGCTTCTAACTTGGCCAAGAGTGGCTATGTATTCACGTGGTTAACAAGAGGCATATCACTCACAAGGGATTCACATCCACTCAAAATGTGGCAAGAAATTATCAAAAAGTTACCAGAATTTTAAGTGGGAAGACAATTTGTTTTTTGTTCCCTTAGCTGTATTAAGAATATAGAATTATTTCTGCCACAGTTCTCGAAAAACAGGAAGTTCAATGAAAGACACACAGTTTCCATTCCAAGTTAGTGCACTGCAAACATTAAAAAAAGCTATTAATAACATTTTGCAATACAGCATCGTGGTCAATTTAACACTGGACTAAACCACCAGTCTCAATGGAACAGTAATCCATTAATACACTTGATGCTTTAGAATTAACACTTACCCTAAACCTTTCACTCAGCACTGCCCTTCTCATACATCGAATACTATTTGATATTGTAGTACCAGAAAGCAGCAAATCTGGGTAAAGAACCAGGTATCCAGACTGTTCATCGATGACCCAGGTACCAGAGCTACACTCGCCTTCTAAGTGAATTATGTCTCCTGGAACAACTGGAACAGACTGCCTGTAATGTAATACATTTGAACAATCATCTGCAAGCTATGGACACAATGTATTAGAAATTATGCATCAATAGAGCAGATTCAACATACTTTGAAACAGGAGGCTACTGCAATTCTTTTTTAAGAAGTTGACCTAAATCAATTCTAAAAGTCAATAAAGGATTTTTTACTGGCAAAACTTCAGTCATTTTGGATACTGGATCATACACCAGGAAAACCAGAATGCATGGAAATCCTGTTGACTTCAGGTCATTCCAGACCTATGTATAGAGCCATTTCAGTATCTTTATGTTGCTAAGTAACATACGCACACCTATGTGTTTCAGAAGACTAAGCTTGTCTTTTCTTCTGTAACACACCATGCAATCACTACACAAACACCTAAATTAAAATCCTATCCTCGCTTGAAAAAACTTCTGCAGGAGAGCTCAAGCTAAGACTATTTTAACAGACTGTATAAAACTTTGTGTTTTACAAGCATAGCTTAGCACCTTTATACTTATGATAAGGGTACATCATTTAGCAGAATACTTTAATTGTTGCAAGGCAACACTTAAATAGCCTGCTTCACGTTTATTATCTTGTTTGTTAGTACAAAGACACATTAAAACTTCAAGGTAGCAATACGCACTCAACAAAAGATACATGACATAGTTTTCTCAAGGTGAATATCCATTACAACAATATATATTACTGTAATATAATGGTAATAGTGCATTAAATAAAAGTTACTTCAAGATTTCATATCACTTTTAGGACTTATCTCAAAGCTAACACAAAGAAAAATGACTTAATAACCCAATATTTCATCCTCTTTTCAGACATTTATATTCCTGTATGGATTACCAGCCATTCCTAAGAATGCACAGTTCTGTATCTTGCAGCAACTGAGATGCCGTAATTGTCAAGTGCTTCTCAGCATCACTTCCATTTCTCTGTAGTATGCTGACTTCCAACACACAGTATCTGTTGTTCAACCCATTGTTCAGTATTATGTCTGGGAGGTTGGTTGCTTTCTTCTGAAAACTGAATTAAAAATTCATTACATAATGAATGAATGAATTACATACATTACATAATACGATTTGAAAACAGGCAACCCATACACAAGAAATGCGAAAGCTTCAAGCATAAACTCAGCTTTAACCCTCTGCAATTTTTATACGTATTTAGTGTGGCCTTTTAGTTCTAAGCAGGTAAAGCAGCACATTGCCTCTTCGATGAGGGAAGAAAAACAAAGCATTTGGGCACACAAGGAAAGAGACGTAAAATTGCTATTTTTCTGCAGCTAGTGCTTCCTCTTGGTACCCATATATCCATATTCATTTATAGATCAATTATAACCTTACTGCAAATCCAGCTCTTGCAAGAAAGCTTTTATCTCCCTGAACACTGCAAAGCACACGAGAATTTCCACAGACATCCAAGTACCTCAAACAGAGCCAGCTAGGTTTTTCTCCCCTTAACCTAAAGTTAACTAAGAAACTGGTATTCAAGGTTCAGCTCCCCTCTGGCCAATAGCCAAAATCTCAGACTGAGAGGCCAGGCCAGCCAGTTTCCCGACACAGACCGATGTCTGCCGGAGCTCTGAAAGCAGCTCTGAGAGCAGCGGGCTTCTCTCACCGACTATTCCGGGCATTCCCGACCTCCGCCCAGCTAAAGCCCGTGACGCCCCGGCGGCTCTCTGAACTCTCTCTCGCGCCCGAAGCGGCAGAAAAGGCGGCCAGGCGCGCCACGCTTTACATTTCAAACCTCCCGCGCTCGTGCAGTGCCACTCGGCTGTTACCTCTCTGCCATGAGCTGGTCCTCAGCCATGCACGGCGCTTCCCGGCTCAGCTCCGCAGCCCAGCTCCGACGCGAACAGGCAGGTAAACGGAAGACTCCCCCCCCCACCAAACTCCACAACTTGCACAACAACCCCCCACCACAAGCAGGGCGCAGACGCCGTACAACCACCTTCCCCGCCCACCTCTAAGAAAACCCCTCCCCTCACCCGTCCCAGCTCGGCCACTGGCGGGGGACCAGCAAGCGCAGCCAATGGGGAGGCTGACTGGAGGGCGGGCCTTCGCCGGGGCGGCAAGGGGGGTGAAGGCGCGAAGTGGCGCGCGGCTCCCCAAGCCGTTGCCGCAGGGCTGGGGCCCGCGCCATGAGGGAGCCCGAGGGTGCCCTGGGGCCCGTGGCGGTTACGTCTGCGCGGAACAGGGTAGATCTCAGCCCTACCTGTCGTTACTTCCACAGCGTCAAGTGCTGTTACAGCCGCGGCCCCTCTTCTGATACCAGTGCAGTAGTATGGCGTAAAGTTAGATACGCTTTTTGCTCCCAGCTGCTTATGGAAGCAATCTTTTTCCTCTGGTAAGAAATCGTTACGTTCTGAGCTGACACTCCCTGACACACAGAGGCTTTCTGGGGCGAGACAGAAGCTTCAGATACACGGATTTTTTATTTTTTCCACAAAACCACTTCTTCAGCAAAGGATTCTGGATCTGAGACCATCACATTTAGCAAACATTGAAGGACTCTGGTATTATGTATCTTCTTAGTACAGCAGTATCACTCTTCTGTAGTTCAGATGAAAATTACATATTAAGAGTTTGGTTTCAGCCAAACACGGGGAAACAACATGGAGGCTCCAGTACTGCAAAGACAACAGTTTTGGACAGTGGTTGGACATTGCGACAGAAAGCACAAGCGTGGATTTTAAAAGGTGAGACTATACTTAAATTAGCCCCTTCAGTTTTCTTTGGGATAGTGCCGAAATACATGCGGTTAATTACATTCATGTTGCTTTCCATCGCAGAACCTCTAATATGAGCTTACTTGTAGTTTAATAATTATGCAGTAATACTATCGAATGCACAATCACATTATTTGGTATGGTGCTAAGAGATTACATAAATACTTCTACTTTGATCTCTGGATGAGCTTGTTCTCTGCAGTCTCTTTGTTGCCTATGCTGCTCTTATACACTAAAAAAAGAATTTTTTCTTCTCTTGTACACTAAAGAAGAATTTTTTTTAACAGAATATGGTTATAGAAGTTTAAAATATGCATTAAATAGATTTTTATTTTTTTTAAGTTAGGTACACACCAGGCAGTCTGGGGAACTTGTACAAAGAGTCTGAAATCCAGAAAAATACCAAACTTTAGGTTTGGTACTTTAGGACCAAAAGTTGCCCTGTTCAGGCTATGATTTTTTAAATTCTTTCTGGCATCACTAGTTGAGAAAAATGTGTCTACAATTTGAAGACGCATAAGCATTCTCCAAGTCTGAACTGTGTAAATTATGGAATTTATTGTAAAAAAATAAAAGTGTTATCACAAGATAAATTTTTTCCTTCCAATCCTGTGACAGTGAGATATCTATACTTATGAACAGTTAGCATGCTTTATATGCCCTCATTTTTTAGGCCATACATTGAATCATGGAAATCTATGAGGGGAACCTAAAGCTGTGTCTTCCCCAGCACCTGACTCAGTAATATATATTTGCCTGCTGTCACCCCAGGTAGCTAGTTTATTCTTAAAAGGTAAACTGAGATTAAATTTACCATGCATCAGATTTAGCAAGTGTGCAATCACAGTGTGAGCTAGTTCAGTAAGGCAATACCAATAAAATCCATTATTTTCTTTTTGTGGGTTAACGTCTCATCAGAACAGTAAAGGCACTATGTAAGTCAATCTACCTTGGAGGAGGCAAAATGTCAATCAGCACCCAAAGGTTAAATAGCAGAACAAAACAGTATAAATGGCAAGTAAAGCCATCAATTTCCTGAACTGTTTTACTATGCAGCCGTGCTAGCAATATGGTAAGAGAACATGTCAGATTCTGCCAATAGGAGTGGAAAGTAGTACACGAATCCTAACTCAGACCAGTCTGAAGCATCCCAAGATTCACTCCGAGGATGCACGAGGGGGCAGTCTTATCACTCACCTCACTGAAGCAGACATTTCAGTTGAACACTCTCTCACACTCATTGCACAGTATAAAAACACAGTTAAGGACCAAGCATACAGGACAGAGATCTTTTGTTTTATACCAGTTTTTCTTGAACAAATATAGTCGTTTTGAGGTGCAAATGTAAAAGAAGGCTTATAATAAGTGCCTTCAGCACTCCTTTATTTAGGAAAAGAGGGAAGGTATTTGAAGAGTCAGAATTTGTCAACTCCGAGGTCTCAGCTCATTTAAATGAGCAACAAAAAAACATTTGGAGAACATTAGTAGGGAAAATTTTCAGTTCTAAGAATGTGGAGGTGAAGTATGGAGCTTATTGTAAAGAGACAATGTTTAATCACTGCACACAAACTCCCCCACGACTGAGATTGTCAACACGTATCATGGATAAGCCTCTATAAGACTGTCTCAAATAAAGGAGTCCTACAATGGTGAGGATTTCCATTATGTCAAAGAGTATTGAAAATAGGTGGGTTTAAAAATATTCACCAAGGCTAATTGATTAAAAAAAAATACTGGATAGAACTACTGGTTCTATCTGATTATTATGATATGGACAAAGTCAGATATTCAGGCTCCTTACATGTGCTGAAAAAGTAAACAAAAAATTAGAAAGTATGTGATTAAGATATAGAAATGAGCTTTGCTGGACCCTAACCTCGTACTTCTTGCTGTCTAAAGTTAGATATTTGCTTGTTCAGTATATCGAAAACACTGAAGAGACAGATGGGGGAAAAAAGTGAATATACCAGAGTCCTTCTTGAATACAGTGAATTTAGCTCTACTGCAAGGACTACAAGACAAAAAAAAAAAACTGATATTGGTTAGTTTTCATTTAAATGAAACTAAAAGATCAGATGAAAATTCTTATTTGTTGCCTCTTAATTAAGAATGACAGTGTTACACAGATTTACCTACATGCATTCTTTCTTACTGTAATACATACAAATCACACGCATTAGTTCAAAATTTTTAATAAAATAAATTCAAATACATTTCTTTTTCTGTCCACAGCTCCATTGTTAAGTATCAAAGAAATACATAATTCTGAGAAACTGGAAAAAAAAAATTTTGAGCCACAAAATTGGTATTGAATATATAACTCAAGATCCAGTCTGTCAAATTTGTCCAGATGAAGCAAATCGATCTTAAGCCATCCACCACTTAACCAGTTCTTGAAAGACACTGCTAAAATATTTACAATAAATAACTTACATCACTTAAAGTAAATGCTTTACAGTTTCCTGAATCAAGTGAGTAAAATCAAGAGTACCAATGCAAATCATGTATAAACAAGTCTCTAAAATAATTCCCTCTACAAAAGGAACTGTAGAAGGAGGAAAACATGTAATAGTCTATTGCATACCATAGTTCAGAAACAGTACATATACACATCTACAGCCTTCAGTACAATCTTCATTTTCTTTTCTTGAGTAAGAGGTTGAATGTGGTCCATATGCTTAAATAAGTAAAAGCAGCAGCATGCAGTCATGTTTGTCACCATGTTTTAAGGTAGGACAAACCTGTTTATGCAAGCTAGGACTGGAAAGTATGAAAAATACTTAGCCACCAATAAGCTGAATCAAGAACATTCAGCTCCACAGAAGAGGTACAGAAATGCCTTTTAAGAGTAGGCCTATACTACCTGCCTTAAGGAGATCTTTTATAGCACTTGTCACTGTAAAAGTTCCCCCTGCTTTTATCTGTGTAGCATTTTTCAGAACAGAAAATATGCTAAGTAACCAGCTTCCAAATTACAAGATCTCTCATAATGTTAAATACAACTGAGCATTTTTTCTTGATACGGGAGAAGAGACCGTCATATGTACCAGTCTAAAGGCAGATGCATTGTTCCTGCATACAGAAAACTTGTGCAAAAAAGTAACAAAAAGATGCTTAAGTTCAGCTTCTACAGAGCTGGCAAGTATTTGAACATGAAAACCACTGCATTTTGTTCAAATCGATTTATTTAATTTTTAAAGAAGAACAGATGTCTACTATCTTAAAAAGCAATATAACCGTGTGTGTAACTCCTGGAATGGTGATAAAGCTAAATAACTAACAGCTTGAAACCCATATAAAATGTGGGTGTAATATTAAAACTGTGCAATTCTTAACATTGATCTAATGGAGCCTAGAAGATCAAGTGCATAAAACTGTTTATAGCTAACTAATGTTTATTTGATCTGTCCCCTGGTTTGACTCCAGGAAATTAACCACACTTTGGCAAATAAAAATGTCAGACAACAGCAGTTCCACAGCAACACTTTTTTTTTTTTTTAATCTTCAAGCAATTTAGTCACCAATATAATTTAAGGACTGATAATGTAGTTTTATGGTAAAGTCTTCTAAAATAAAAATCAGTTGAGATGCAAGAATTGTTTCATAAGTTCATATGTGGTAAAAGCCACAGCCTGGGAAGGAATGCAACGGATGTAATTTAGAGATAAACCACGGTATAATCCTCTTCGTATTCCATGTTGTTGATACACATATTTCAGTGTCTGCACCATTGTACTGGAAAACAAAGAACTCAAATCATTATTGGATACACATACTCAGTAGTCAAAATCACTGCAAGACACTTGTTACACTTGGTTCTTCAGTGATGTATGGAGAAAAACCTATGTGACTTCGTAAAGCATTATAGACTTTTCAGGACTCAGAACACAGTCTGAGCTTCTGCAAGAAACTTGGCCATAAGAGCTGGGAATTGGAAAGAGGACAGTGCAATCCCATCTAAAGAAGTTTTAAGTCTGAAAACACCTGCCCTAATAGATACACTAAGGCATTTTACACCAGAATGACTATAGATCTGTTGTCTGTCTGACAGGAAGAAGTTGAGAAGCATCAATTCTTCTTACAAATATAATACAGAGTAACAGAGACATAATTTACTCAATGTAGCACACACTTCTTGCATTACAGATCTGTATTTAGGCTTGCATCCTATTCTTTCTTTGAGCACTTGATCATACTACCCATCCTTCTAAAGTTCTGCACAGAAAGTTTCTGTTTAGCTCTCTGTGTAGCTTTGTCCACAATGACAAAAAGCTCGTATTTTCTCTCAGAAGTGCTAAAATTTGTTATGGATATATTCAACCTTATTGAAAGCAGAATTTGCTTTGTATATGCAAGAAGAACAGTTTTCCTCACATGCTTACATTGAAACTGAGCAAATGAGTGTTTAATGCAAAACAACTTAAAAATCTGCAAGGTGCTCAGTATTTCCAAGCTGTTAAAGATATTGCTGTTTGAGAACAGCTCCCATATGCCTCAAAGCTTCAAGGTTTCCTAGTTGTTTTATAATTTCCTTCTCTGAAGGTATATATGCATATTCTCCTTCAAGGCACAACTCTCTCCAAACACAGCCACAACAATACTGTTAAATTGGGAAGGCTAATGTCTGTAAAAGTAGGCCACACAAATTCAGCAAGTAAACCCCCAATAAAAATTAACATATTTTTATTTTAAAAGTATCTGGAGTGGAAAACAGGCAAGGGGGGGGGAAGGGGTTTAAGGCTGCTAAGGAAAACAGAACATCAGCTTTCACAGTAAGCAACACATACATTTGTTTATGAAAGGTCACCAAGAGAGACTACTAAGATCCAACTCATCATAGAGGAGATTAACAGTTAATCACGCTGGATTTAGACGTGCAATTCCACAAGATTGAAAGTAGTCAAGATAAAACTGCCCTGCAATTTAATTTTATTGAGGCAATTTAAAATTTAGGAAGTTTTTCAAGATGAAAGCTGATTTAATCCTATGATTTTAAGGATATGATACTTATATTTCTATTGGAAAATTCCAATGTGTGGGGTGTGGGATATTACCACCAATGCAAGAAAAGTCCAATAAATATTGTGTAAAATCATCTTATGGAACAGACTCTGCACCATTAAAAACCACTTTGAAACATACAGTTTCAGTAAAAGCATGCAGTCTCCCAGCAATCCTGCCAATATTAAAGGAAGACATTGCAAGTTGAGTTAATGCAAAAAAAGTGATATTAATACAAATGCCGTATTATTGACAAAAGTGCTGTTGAGATTACAGTTTTTTTTCCTAACCCCAGAATGATAATGGCAGCTATTGCCTGTGTGGAAACTTACTCATTAAAAAAAAGGAATAAATCAACAACTCAATAGTTTGGGGGGGTTTGTTACTTCTAAAACTAAGAATTTAACTTTGCTCAGACATCTAAGAATTCCATTATTATGGATGAAAAGAAAATACTTACAGGCACTTTTCAGAGTCTGGGAGAACTGCTCCTAACTGCATCCGCCTACGAGTTACATCAAGGGGATATCTATAGAAAAGATATTTGAACAGCAGTTCAACCAGATGTGTGATGACTATATGAATATTGTTTAAAAAAAGAATACAAAGAAGTTCACAAATAAACCCCAAGCTCCCTTTTCAGCGAGTCAGGAATCTGGCTCAGATTCTCAACACAGCTGAAAGTTCTCCTAAAAAGGGAGACTTCCCTTATACAACCAAAATGAGCAAATCAGATCTCTTAATATATTCCATTTGGCATGAGTAAGGAAGATACATGAAGATCAGATGAGACTGTAAGACAATCTGTAGAACACTGGAGAGTGAATCAAAAATAAAATTAACAGGTTAAGAATTAACAGAAAATTAATTTGTAATCCAGTACTTTAGTGAAAAATTGATGCCATAAAAGTCCATTAATTTTATGGACAAAATAAAACATGACAAGGACAGCATGAAAATGGAGAAAGCAGGAAAGGTAATTTAAAACTGCCAAATACAATATCTAAGACTTGGGACTTTTTTTTTTATTATTATTTTTGTTTTGTTGGTGGTTGTTTTTTTGTTTTGTTCTATGGCTTCCCAGGTTACATTGTTTTGAAAATAAATTCCAGTAATAAATTTCCGCAAGTTATATTTATGGTCAGAATTTCATAGCTTACCAAACAAGATTCCAACTGATTTTAGGAGATCTGTCTGAATTTGTTTAATTGACTCAATGCATGTATCTTTAAAGACCCTGAAGATTAAACAGATATTTAGTAAATTAAACAGTAGGAAATAACTGAATTCCTGTGTCTGACTGACCTGATTTAAAAATTTCACTAATAATAATGAGACTTACGTAAAATCATATTCGCAGATACAAGTTGCTTTAGAATGAACGGCTGTACAGGCAAACAAACAACCCCACAAACAATACCCAAACTTACGATATCGTCTGAGCTATTGCTCCAGCTATGCCACCACACAGCAGATTTACGTGCGTTTTCAAAACTAAGACATCGGGATTATCTAATGAAGGCCGTCCAAGCAAGTTAGGTGCTTGAGAAAGTCCAATGCTCTTTAAGGTACCAAAGGTAAAAAATGAAAAACCTAAAAGAAAATTTAATGTACTTTCATAAAAAAAAGCAAACTTTTGTCAATGCATCATCATAATAAACAAAAAGCTGCACTTACAAAATTAAACTATTTTCCAGTTCTTTTAGAAGTTTTTCTTCAGCAGAAAGAAGTAAGACAGATAATATTTTGAACTTCTACGCTAACTTCTGTCCAAATGAATCAGTTTTTATAATTAACATTGAAAGAATTCTTTAAATAAGACAGACTGAGGTTTTTAAATTACTGGATTGCTCAGGAGTTAAGAGTAACTCCTAAGATCTTCTTTTAACTGAAGAAAATCTCTCATCTTTTAATTATGGGTATATTTTAGCTGGGCACTTCTGAGGTTCCTCCATTCCACATGGCTTTAGGTTGTCTAAGTAGTTACATTAAAGTCACCAGGAGATGGAGCCAATACAGAGGGTCTGGGTCTCAATCCATAAAGCTCTCTGCTCTCTCACCGATCTACTCGTTTGAGAAAAAATATCTGAAGTGCTTTCTTGTGGGAAAACTGGGAAGTAGAAGAGAAAGAACCACTACTTTACCTCTCTCCCTCTTACCTCCAAATTTCAGAAAAGGTAAGCTTTGCCTATTGAGGTTGCTTTAAGACACATTGATCAATTCTAGATTAAGACTGAAGAGTTGCAAATGTTTCTACTGGCCTCCCCTCTCCACCCAGTAAAAACCAAAATCTTTTTATTTTAACAGAAGCTAATTAACTAGGTGTACAAATGCATTATGTAAATTTAGTAGTGCACATAACAGCTGAAGGATTGCCATATTCTGTTTTTAACTTACCCGCATATGGCGCCATTCCTACAATAGTTGGCATCAGCCCTCTGTAGAACCCACTAAAACCACCTTCCTTTGAAAGAAAAATACAAGTACATTTTTGGCAAGAAATACAACAGATGTTCATACAAATTCACATGACAGCAATCTGATTTCCATCATCGAGCACAAAGGAGCTAAAATCAAGTTCCATTTCTTCAGCCTGAAGAATTGAGGGAACTGCTGCCACAAGATATACAGAAGTGAAAATGGAGGAGAAAAATCTACATCCAATAGAGACATCTCTGTATTATACATATCCCTTCTCCACAAGTTTTTTTTTTCCTGTATCATTACTACTAGCTCTTGAAAAGCAACTTCTCTCTGCTGCTTTTGAACTCCTACTTACGTTGTCTTAGCAGCCTAAGTAGAAGCATCTAAATAAATTTTTACATTAAAACGATCAATGTGCACGCAATGAAGTCATGTTATTTTCCACCAAGCCACTATTTTCAATGCAGTGCAACATTCTTTAAAGAACATACTTTGCTTTGACAGGACTAAAGATTAAAAGAAAAAATACCTTTGTGTAAATCATCTTGAATGCATGGATAATTCCCATGTACTTGTGTTCCCCTTTTACTTGGAATGCCAGACGAACTCTAACCATATCAAGAGGGTAAGTACAAATCACTGCTGTAATACCTTTATTAAAAACAAAAACAAAACAAGCAAACAAAACTCACCTACACCTTATCTGATTCTAGTATTATTTTGAAAATTAAAATTTCCTTTTGTGGCAGTGAATATAATAGCATATACAGATTATCTGGTTAACAAAACACTAAAGTCACTTATAATCAGCAAATAGGAACACTATCTTCAGGAACACATGAAGGATTTATGTTTATACTTTGTGTTCACTGAAGCGGCACACCTAGGCTTTGATTTTCCAAAAACTTATAGGCCTAACTGTATTCAAATGAATAATCTTATTTATGTCCATGGTTCATAAGCAGCAGGCTAGTCAACTGCATCAGCTTTTCTGGATTGCAGCCATGAAACTTAATCCAACCATAGCTTGGGGGAAAAAAAATAAATAAATAAAAAATCAAACCACCGAATTTACACGTTTAATTTCAAAAAGGTTGTGTCATAATTTAATGTGATTACTGGATATAGATACATAGTTTACTGGACACAGGCATATGTATCTACTGCCTCTGAAAATACTAAATATATTCTAATGGCATTTAAAGGAAAGTCAGAGTGGTAGTAATGGAAAGTACTTTGCTGCACTGCATTACTGCATTTTAATAGTTCATATTAACACCTGCTTTAAAACTCTGACCAAAACAATCTAGTTCTAGACTTAAGATGCCAAAAAAAAACAAATCTTGGTATTTATCCAGCTATGAACTGCTTCAAAACTGATTAGATGCTGACCAACTTGTACATTTGGAAACAGAACTTCAGTACATAGAATGACTCCTCCAACAGTTACCTGAGTAACAATTTCCTACTGCTAGATTTTGAGATAAACCACTCAATTGCTGACAAATGATTTGAAGGGAACAGTTAAAACTCTTTATTAAAAACAGAGGTAATTTCTGATGTCACACCACCAGCACTTAAAAAACTCCAACCAACCAACCAAAACAAACAAAAAAAACTAGGAAAAGGAGAAAAAGAAAGCAAAAACCTTCGTGTTTCCTAGCAGACTCTGAATTAGTTAAACATTACCTTTAAAAATTAGTCCTACAGCACACTTTTTATGCTGGCAAGAAATTACCACCTTCTCTTTAAGTTTTAATAGTGTCTGAATAATACTTCTTTTTGTAGGTGTGTAATTTCTCCTCCTTTCCACAAGGTCAAAAGAAAACCGTAACAGAGAGGGGATAAAAAAATAAAACCATCAAAACCCAAACAGAACTCCCAATAGCAAACAAACTCTTCATAGAAAGTCGTTCCCTTTTTTTTTTTTCCCTTTCTCTTTAAAATCCTCTAGCCGTGAATTCTGGGAAAAAATGGGACTTTTAATATCAGCCATAAAATATGCTTTCTTGAAACAACTGCGAGAGGCATGTTACTGCTTACTGTTCATATAAGCAAAATATATACATACAAGGGATCAAGGTTTCCTTTAGGACTCAGGAGAGACACTATCCTTTCTGAGAAGAATGGTGATCAGTTTCGGGACACAAAGATATTCTGGTGAAATCAACAAAATTACTCATCTCTATTCCCTAATTACGAGTTGTCAGAAATCAAATCACAGCATCTTAAGGCTGATTCCCTGTCCTGAGGAAGCAAAGTCTGTTCCAGATAATGAGAGCTCAGATAAAAATTTCTCCCATGGTCAGTTAAACAGGACAGAATTGGAAGTATCTCAACACTTAAGAGATACATACTGCAATTCCCAGTGTCTGGATTGAGACAGTCAGTATCCTTCCAGATCCATACCATTTTCTAATTGCATTTACTAAAAGTAAAAAACTAAAAACATGTTTTCTGTAAAAGTTTCATGTAGTTTGAGTTGATTCTAGATAACATCTGGTATTTTTTAGCTTTTTTTGATTTTTAAGTTCATCAAGTGCAGGGTAGGAAATTCACATTTTTGTGCTTTACTTCAGATTTTTCAATTAGAAAATACAAAAATACTTAGATTTGCAAAATCACCCTGTGATATAGGTGTTATTTGATCATTTTGTTTCCTAAACCCCACTGACCTCTATGATTTCTCTATCTTCTCTCCAGCTGTCTTTCCTTAGAAGTTATACACCATCTATTTGTTAATGAGGTGTTACAACTGAAATTTGAATCACACAAGACTCAGGAAATTCAGAGTTAAAGTTTCCACAGTAGCTTTAACTTGGCCTCCTTAAATATATGCATTACAATAGGTTTTTCTTTTCTCTTACTCCACTGCCCCCATCCTCATAGCCTTGCTTTCCCTGTGAATATGCTTTTGATCCTGTTTATCAGTTACAGAAAATACTCAGAAGTTTTCCACCACTTTGAAACTAATTCCGTTGACTGCTAGTAATGTTGGAAACACTGACATAAGCAAGACTTAAGTATCAATAGCGTAAACAGAAGTGAAAGCAGACAGCTCTGTAGGTACTTGGCGTAAAGAGGACAAAAAGGAACGAGAAACAAGGGTTATCCATTTTCAACTGCGTAATGTTGGGCTCCAGGAAACTGTGAAGACCCCTCTCTACCAACAGTGAGGTGCACGTAGCCTGCTATCTCCTTTAGTCAGTTAAACTTGGAAGAAACAGAGTAATATCCCTTATTGGAGCTAGCAAGAAACTAAGCCACAGGACTTAAAGCAAGAAATATTAACAGTTGCTTTTAAAAGTTTTTTATTTTGTTTGCAACCCTAGATAACTTCTGTATCAGATTTCAAACTCTATGCTCTTCTTAATGCCTCCTTTCTCCTCATATTTTCTCAGCATACTCAATATAAGTAGTAGGACACTCGCATGTGATAGTATTACTATACCTGACTGCTGTACTGATTTCACCACATGCCCAAGTCTAGCTCATCTGTGCAGCTTTGGGGGTCTCCATACCATACTATTGAGTATATTGTACTTAAATGCACCACATGAAACATTTCATTTGATCGTGGTTTTCAGGTAGTACTGTATATTAATTTTAATTCTATTACTTAAGCATAGAAACCAGATTTAACCAGTAAGATGCTCAAACAATGCCAGATGCTATTAATTTATCTACGCAAAGAATTCCAGCATGTCCAACACTGCCAGAGTTAAGCTGATTAGTCAATGTCTTCACAGTGCCTCAAGTCAGGTTTCAGGACTCTGATAAGGGTCCCAAAACAGCTAATAAGCTTTTTCTTTGGGGAAGACAGAAGAGGAAAGGGTGCGTTCTTTACTACAGTTAAAGGTGGAGGGAAATAATGAAATTTTTAAAGAAAAAAAAAAAACCAAGAAAAAACATAAACAAAAAAAAAAAAAAACCCTATACTCAATGAAAAACCACCTAGGTATTTTTTCCACTTCTTTCAGATACAAAGTCAGCCAAGTTCTGGAACATATCTTGCCAAATGTGTTTTGCTGAGCTTTAGGATATTTGAATTGTTTCACTTCATTCTCTTTTGTTATCTTCTGATGGCATGCAAAACCAAAATACTTTCATAAGATCTTTCTAGTTTAACTAAAGCTAGCGCTAACAAATCCCTTTTTTTTTATTCCAAAAAGAAGATAAATATTAATATTCACTACTTATAAAACAGTATTAAGCCTAAAAGCTACAAACTAAAAAGCACACAAAGAACCACCTCAACTAAAAAACAGTCCACTATTACTTAGCTTTCTCTGTTTTTTCTTAGCCATTTATGTCTGAATACCTAGCAAAAGGAAAACAGAAATGTGTAATCATACTATATACTGGCAGTTTAAAATGGGATTTTTCTACTGATATTGCACTAATTGATAAATTATGCTTTTTAACATTCACATGTATGATCTAAAAAGTATCATGACACTCCTCCATTGCATGTTGAAAAGTACAGACATTCCTGGCAAATCCAAAAAATCTACCCATTTAAGGACAGATTCTTCCAATTTTCTCTACTTCTATGGACTTATATTCATCATAGTAGAAACGGCAGTCAGGCTGATGAACCAATTCTATAGAAACCTGCATCTTTATACTTGATCTTGATGAGGCTGGATTTTTCTTTTTTTAAGCCATAATGAACACAGTAAAAAATGTGCTTTACAACACAGCACAGAATTCAATGCTTGAACAAATATATTTTAAAGAATACTCAGACAAACAGTTTTCAATTAGGCAACTATTTGTTCCATTAACCATTTACTAGTACTTTTGCTTAATACAAATCTGCAACAGTTTGACCTGAGAACACATCAAATCATCCTCTAAACAAATATTAACTATCCAGCAAAAGGGATGTCTGAAATCCAAGTACAGAACTATACCTGCCATGGATCCAGCCATTAATCGATGCACATGCCCTGAAATCCCAAGTTGCTTCTTTATTACCTACAAAATACAGCACATTTACAATAATCATACATCAGAAAATACAGGGAAGCACATCACACAGTTTATTAGCACACTAATGCAACCACTCCAGCTGTTTCCAAAAAGTTTACAACGCTACAATTTCAAACCAAATCACTTAATTACTGGTACAGGAATTTTCTGAGCATTGCTGCTGTTACCAAGTTCTTATTGAAAACATGAAAGTGCCAAAATTCTACTAACAAGCAGAATGATTAGTTAAAAGTATTTGTACTTTTTACTTCAGAAACTAGACTGATTAGTTATCTTTAACATGTTATACAAGGCAAACCGAATACTATCCTTGCATGAGAAAATGAAAAGGACAATAAAAAAAGCTGAAAAGTGAGACATTTGAGATGAGTAAATTTTTCTTCTACACACAGCACATGAAACATACTCCTGTAAGGCTGTTTTAAGACTTTAACTGGATTTTTTTTTTTAAATGGAAGCTTTTATCAAATAACAGACTATTTAAGAAGTAATTTCTGCTATCAAGAAAATAATTTCATATCTTCCTTTATATTTTTTCCCATTCTACACATTTCTGCAAGACATCTTGAATGTTGTTGTCAATTAATAAATAAACTGCTCTGATGCAAAGTGGTTTCTCAAAATTTGCAGATTTGTAAATAATTTCTTTATAAAGCATGGCATTCAGTCTTTCATCCAACACAACATAAAACAAGCACAAATCAACAGCATTTATGATTATACCACAAAAAAAAAGAAACTGTAAAGCTTGTAACAATTACTTGTTTTTATCAGCCTTCTGAAATTTGCTCTTTAGAGAAGGGAACACAATTTCAGTCTTACTGTCTTCAGTAAAGATTATGCAGTTTACTTCACTGGGTATTCAATCTGACCTTCCAAACACAGAATTCCTTATCACTAACAGTAAAATGGTATTCTTCACCACATATAAGGAATGTTTAAAACATGTTCATGTTAACACCTGACCTCCAAAAGAAGTTACATGGATTTATGTATTAACGTATTAAATGCACGAGAGCAGAAAGGAATCCACCAATTTTGTACAACCCTGAAATAAGCATTTTCTCTTCCAGGTCATTTCTATCTAGATCTGACATAGTCATTTGTCAAGTCAAATATAACAGTCATATACACACAGATTTTCAAATTTAAGTTATTCCATCCATCAAGAACTAAGAAACCCAACACAATAGGTTCCATTTCACGTTTTGTTGCTACATTATTCACGAAGGGCTACTTTATAAAAATATAAACAGCAGCAAACTCGAGATCAATTTTTTTTCATTAAAAAAAAGAAAAAGTATTCTCACAATACAAAGGTACAAAAAATCAGTGGGAGTTTTTTTTCCCCTTAAGCAATACTACAAAAACTTTCACTGGTGTCCTGACATTTTTAACAGGTAGATTCAGCTAAACTTCACAAGCAGCCTTAGAAAAGACATGCAGCTAATTAGTATTGTAAAAGTATCAGTGTTAGTTTTGACCACTTAAAGAATCTGTATTCATTGTAGGCGGGGAGGGGAAGAAAACAAAATAAATACAACTACCTTTTTATATTGGTCAAATGCCATGAACTGAATTGCGCCATATGGAAAGATTCTAATCATCATTGCCCCGTTTCCTTTATACAGCCCAAGGTAACCTTCCTTTCTGGGGACAGCACACAATGTAGAAAACACTCCTGCCAGCAATACAAAAAAAGGTATTTTTTGTGGGGAGGGGAAAAAATAAATCAAGCAAATATTAACAACAGTAAGAAAGTATGCATAGAACTGAGGCTGGAGAGTGTTGCCTATTAACTGTGAGAGTGGAAAATCCACTTTCAATGCCCAAACACTGTCAGAAACAGGAGATTTAAGGTTAAGTCTTATCAGTTTTCTCACCTCCCAGACTCAGTGAACCTCTTTCCAAATCACCCATTCAGGCCCCATGACTTCCTGGACTGCAAGCAATCCTACTGCAGATGATGCTATCCACCCACAGAAGCTAATACTAGCAACAGAAGGAAAGAAACTGGTTGACTTGCAATTCAGCCAATTCAAAATAAATACTTAAAAATCTAAAACCATGGGAAAACAATCTGATACTGCTACATGCCATCATGAAGGAAAGGAAGTAAACGAGTTTAAGACTGTCACTACTTCCACCTTAAACATTTCACACTTCCTGTCCCAGAACTGTTGCAATGTAAAGCAATCCTACTCCCTTAATAGGCAAGAAATAATGCAAGATCGCAAAGTTTGGGAAAAACCTACAGTTTTATTATAAACATATTATCAGTTATGCACAATTGCTATCAAATGGAGTTTTAAATTCTTTTTTAAAGGAACAAACTAACAGTTAAACAGTTTTCATTCATATGCAACTATTTAATTATGTAAGAGCTGAACATGAAAAAGGCTTACACATTTATCTTACTTTCAGCCAGTAAAAAAAAGTAGTTGAAAAACTTCCAAGTGGAAGTTTCACTAAAATAAATATTATTTAGTTTCTGGAATTCAAGATGTCATGCAAATACTTATGCCATGATTAAAATTTCTCTCTATTCTGTCATGAGGAGTTACTGTTCTTATTTCTCAAAACACATGCTCCAAGAGCTAGACCAACACCAGACCAAGGGCAGCAAAAACATTTAGTGAGGGCTTTGATTAACTAATCAATCCATCATGTCTCTGCACTTATAGGTATCTCACCCACATAATTTTCTTCTTTGCCTACATGTAACAAGGATATGCAGTCAAGTCAGACACATTTCAAATAATCAGCATCATATCTACCACCCTAAATAGGGAAGAACATAAGATTTTATTTGCTAATTATGGCACGGTACAAAGCAAACAGAAAATAAAAATTTAATATATCAGTCAAACCAATTATTTCAGCCTTCAATTCTTAAGACTGCAGATCTGACTGACTACTTATGTTACCAAAACACTACCCTACTTGTGTTTCCCTTTTTGGTACAGTCAAGTGAACATATTCACAAAAACTCCATTGAATTCTGTTTCTGTTTATAGTGTCTGAGGGGAAAAATTCCGAAGTTTCATTATATGCAAAATTAACCTATTCCATTTGTTTTCTTGACAATGTAACACGCTTATATTCAGAACCTAAGTTATGACATGTTTCAAAAACGTAGGCCATAAAATACCTCAAATGCTATGAACGAGAGTGCACTGTTACAGCCCCACAGAGAATGGTTCTGAACATGATAACTGCAGGTTTCTTATCTCACCATGATGCAACACAGATGCAGAAGACAGATCAGATCGGCTGCACAAATCCACTTCTACCTTCAATTCACAACCACCATGCTGCTGTCTGTAAGCGAGCAGGTGTGAGTTTTCAGGATTCAGTGGTCGCTATCTTGTAATCACCATCACCCGTGAACAAGGGCTGCTGAGCCCTGAGAACTAACAATCGCTGTAGCAGACTGCAGCAGCTACCAGCAACAGTGACGGTTCTTACGTAAATGATCCAAGCTTTGAACCTGTGATTACCAATCTCTTGCAGGCTTCAGTGAGAGGAAGATCAAGCTGAGCTCTTACATGACTTATTGAGAATTATTCTGACATCTCAATCTCTCAACACACCAACCAATGCCACAATTTACTTCCACAGGGCTTTGCTTTTCTTCTTAAGCACTAACAAAACATGGCACAGAGATTGACCAGACTGATGCAACCTTCTGTCCAGTCAATGCCTTCTTTTTTTTTTTAACCAGCCACATCATATATATCTGTATGCCCAAGCCATACACACTGAATTTAAAACAAAAAATGAGACACACAGCAGCCATCTTACCTAGATGTTTGTAATGGTGGTTATGAGCTTGCAGCAAAATCTTTACTCGATCCAGTGGTGCAGTAGTTGTTTTGGCACAACATCCTGCAACACCTTTCCAAGAGGGGAAACAGAAAAGTGATGGGTTGCAAAAGTTCTTTACAACACAGACAAGGTATTTCTTAAAAAATAAAAAAAATAATAAATAAATGCAATAGGGGAAGAGAAACCCTGGAACTGAAAAAAGCCCTTATGATGAGTAAACAGCCTCTATTAGAAATAAGCTACAAAACCCTTAAAGCCTTAATAAAACATATGAACTACTTTTCCAGATTACAAAAAAAAAAAAACAGGACTCCGCTGCTCTCAGCTGCTGAAGTCACAGCAGAGCCTTTCAGAGAAAGTTGCGCAGTTTTCCACCTGGTTTCCTCCGGCCCTTCTGCGGAAAACTGCCCTGGCTACTCTCCCAGAGGGGTGAGATACGTGTCCACCGTGTACCCTGCGCTGCTTCAGAGCCAGAGGTGAAACAGCGAGCACAGCCTGACATGAAAAGTTTAAATAAACGAAATGTCTTTTATCCCCTTGCAAACCAGGCAAAGGGGATGACACTCCATGGGAAGAACAAAGGCTTTTTCCGTCAGAGGTTGGTAACACGGAACTGTGCCTGCGAGGCTGGCTCCAGCTTCACAATCCCTGAATCTTCGCAACCGCAGTCTTAACTGCTTCCGGAAGCAGACAACCAACCTTTCCCCCGCACCCTGGCGAGGGCTAGAGCTCTCGGACTCTTTAAATGCGACTGCCCAGGACTCCTCACTGGTGTTGATACACGTGCGAATCACTCGCCTGTACCGAGCCACCGCGCACTAGCATATGGGGGGGAGGGGGAATGAAACCTCTAGTTTCCACTTCCTCTAGCAACGATCCTCTCGACAGCAGCTTTACAGGGACATTGACATGGAAGTGACCTCTGCCCTCCCCCCCACTCCGCACCCCGGCCGGCCGGCCCGCCCGCCCTGCTCTCCGCCGCTGAAGCCTGCTCTCCCACTCCGTGCAGCCCGTAGAAGGCCCGCCCAGACCAGGCACCGCACGCCGCCGGGCAAGGGCCCGCCAGGGGCACCCACCTCCAGCGATGAAGGAGCGCAGCCAGTAGAAGTCGCGGTGTGCCGCTCCCGGGGGCAGCGCGGCACCGGGCCCTGCCGCCGCCGGGGAAGCCATGGGGCAGGGCCAGGCCGGGCGCGGACGGCGGCGGCTCCCTCAGGCGGCGAGCGGGCAGCGCATGGGGCAGCGGCGCCCCTGCAGCGGCGCAGGGGCGGAGCTCGGGGCGGCCCAAGATGAGCCATGGCCGGGACTGGCAGGCTGCGCCGAGGCGCGTGCTTATCGCGTCAGACGCGGGGAGGCGGGCTTGGGTGGCCGGTGCTCAGCCCGTACTCGATCCGGTGCAGCGAGGAGGATGGCGGAACGGGGAGTGAGCTCCTCAGCCGGCCGTGTGAATTGTCAGTACCCCCGGGAACCGTTTGTTGCTGATTGAAAAAGGTCATCGATGCCCTACTGTTCCGACGCAGACGTATTTGTAGCCCTGTGTGTGCATGCAACCAAAGCATAAGTGGTGTTAATTAGGCCATACAGTAAAATACATCAATTTTATAAAGCGTTTAAATGGTTACTTAAACCTCATACTAGAACATAAGTATTTCTTTTGTCTACAATTATGGTTTCATAGCTAGCAAAAAATACTGAGTTTTTACTCCTATTCAAGTTTCAAACTGCATTGGAAAAGGAAGTAGATACTGAAAAACCAACCAATAAACAGCTTTTTTAGAATCAGAAGGGTCAAGGCCAGGGTCGCCTCTGCAACTGCCAACATTTTTTGCAATTTTTTAGGTTTTCTGCAAGGTCTCTTCTTAATACAGTACACGGGGCTTTCCAGGAGGCATTTAGTTAAACTTTTGTCCTTAACCCTTGGAAAACACCCTCGGATGGTCTGAGTGCTGGTGTGCGGTGTAAGGAAGGTAAGCATACCTGACGCCAGACACTGATGGGAAAGTCAATGCTGTCAGCTTTTCTCTCAGTTTTCCAGTGCTACTCATCTATTTTTCAGATGTATTTTGCCTCATCATCTTGACCAGAGTTTCCAGTACTTCAGATACTAAAATCTCCCCTTTAAAAGTCAGTCTTTTAATGTGAAAAGTCAGTTCTCAATGCTTGCACAAGTAAAATGAGCCCATTTCCAAACAGTTTTGTTGGAACATTTTTTCTTCCTACTTGTTGTCAAACTGCCTTCAAGAGGAAATACTCCTTTTTTCCTTTAATAGGTTACATTCCCTAAAATTAATGTTTTTCTGCATTGACAAAACTTTATTTTGCTGTTTGAGCATTATGTCATTTATATATTTGGGAAATGACTGTTACAGTATACACTTTTTCCAATAATAAAAAAAGTGCAAAGCAAAGGTGGATGGGTTTCTTCGAGAATGTATGGATTAAGTCCTTTATAGCAGAAAACTCTCAAGCCTTTTACATTTTTTAATACACCCAGGAAATTCATTTTTGTTGAAGATACTCTGATAGTTAAGTCTTTAACTGAAAAGCAATTGTTCTGTGTGTTACTGAAGCAAGCTTTGTAGTCACTGTTGATATGGTTTTCCCCAACCAGTTTGTGTTCTTTTGGGAGTCTGTTCAGGAAAAGCATACCACCACCACAGCAATCATACTGCTTTAGCAGCTCCAACTGTAGAAACTTAATTTATTTACTGCTTTCCCACAGAAAAGTGTTGCAACTACACTAACAGCTGAAAGTCGTCTGGTTTCTAGAGTTTCACCAATGACTAGAAAAATTGGGTAACTGCATAAATGGCTATTACTTGCTTTAGATACAGGCAAGGTATTTCAGGAGGGTACTGGGTCAACCCTTGTAATTTAGGGAAGTATGCGGTGTGAATGCATACTGCTTAGGAGAGCAATAAGAAACCGATATTGCAAAGTTAAACAGAACGTTTCGTAGAAATATACTAACACATAAAAGAATTCAGCAGTGAGCTTTATGCATTCTTGCTGCTGTCACTTCATCTTTTTACCTTGAAACATTTCTGCCCTTTGCAGGATTTCTCTGATGACTTCTGTTTTATGATCCATTCTTAGAAGTCATCAGCATTTTTAATGCCACTCAAGTTACACTTATGCCTGACACTACATCATCCTTCCCTAGCAGATTGATGGTAAACAGGGGAAGATTAAAGTCAAGATGCTCAAGAGCAGACCTGCTAACTTAAGGAATAATTCAAGCAAGTAGATAGTTTTATAAATAGCTGTAATTTGTGTCTGAATTTTTTGTTGTTGAAGAGGCTTATTTTCATAAAGATATTTCAAATATTTATCAATTGAAATAAATTATCAAGTCTAAAGTTAGATGTGCTATTTTCATGACAGTTGTTGCCAAAAAGATTATTTTCAGTGTTTTACAATGCTGATTTACATCAAGCTCTGTTTTGAGACAGTTGTACAAATTATCTTCAAGTATTATGCCTCTGGGCTATAGACATCAGAAATAATTTTTTTCCCCCACTTTATATTTGCTTCTGGTCTTTACTAGTTAGCCATCTGAAGTGAAATCTATCTAGTTGTCTGTTCTTTTTTCCCAAACCTTATCCAAACCCACCAGGAGTACAGAACTTTTTCTACATGAAATTCAGGTATTTGAGGATTTCTTCTTTGAGAATTTTTTTCCTTCTTCTGCTACAGGCTTGAAGATTGGAAACACTCAAGCAAATCTCAATTCCTTACTAATGCTGCATCTCAAGCTCTCTTTATCTTTGCCACCAAGCAGACAAAACAGCACTGCTTTCTGCCGTGAGCTAGGAGCCACAGGTGACCAGAGCACAGGTAGTGTATTTACCAACCAGCATAATCCTGTAGCAGGACAGGCAGAATGGGGTGCAGGGGACAGGCTCCATCAGCAGTCACAGCAAGGGCACAAAGCAGTTCTAAAGTCTATCCAGAAGAATAGCAGCAGATAAAGCCCAGAACAATACTGGAGACAAGTCTGAAGGTCATCTGGCAGCCAGGTCCAGACAAGAAACAAGATCAGCAATAGAAACCAAAACAGCACACTTATAGCTGAGCCAATGAGTAATTGCTTGCCCAGGCCTGAGGTTAAATGAAGCTCCTGGGCCCATGGACCACATATGTGGCTGGAGGCCCCAGGTGACCCTGGCCAGGGCCATTAACACCTATTGGCACCCTCAGGACCCAGACAGTCCTTACCAGCAGTGTGACACTAAGGTCTTTGAGAAACAGACATACGTGACTCTCTCAAGTCATTCGGTCTGCAAATGCAGTGATGCCAAATTTCTCTAGATAACCAGTTCTCTTCCTTTCTTTCAGGTGCAGGGAAGAGGTGTGCATTTCGTGCCCTCAGGTGTCACATGGCTTGCTGCAAAAGTGCAGTAGACTTGAAGCACCCAAAAATGCCAGGTTGGTGCATGCAGAATTAGCCATGTCTTCCCAGATGTAGTATTTACTACCCAGGCACAACACAGTCATTCTGCACTCATGCTGTATGTTGCTTACCCACAATTATGCAATGAAGTAAGGGCCAAGATTTCCAGTAAAAATAAAGTGGGCGCAAAATGCTGCCCACCACAGCTCAGGTACATCTGATAGGAAGTATTTAGAATAAATTAAATGGACCTGTATAATGGGCAGCATAAGATTAAATCAGTTGCTTTTGGCCATACTTCATGTAAAATGGTATTAATGCTTAAACTATCTGTGTTCAGCATGCTTACAAATGTTAACTTGCTTTCACTGCTAATCAGGCACGTAGATACTATCTACAGAACCAGGGCCAAGAAAGACTAAATGAGGAAGTCATTGTCAAAACTACAATTAGAATTCAAGAGTTTCTGCATTAAACTCATGGCTTTCAAGAATTTTCTCTTTCAGATACTGCCAACTAACAATGTTGTGGGTAATTTATCTGATCATCTGTATTACAAGCACAAAGGCACTGACAGTGGTTGGCTTGCGTTCAGCTGGGTTCACAGCATCACATCAGTGCAACATATAGGTTCCTAGATCACATCTGGTCTGGGAGCAGGCTGGTCACTTTGTCACAT